CGAAACAATGGGTATAAATTGGATAAGTTTAGATTTAGGAAAGACTTGGGTAAATACTGGTTCGGTAACAGGGTTGATACCTGCTTGATGGGGTTCTGGGAGTTCTTCTACTCCCCCAAGCCCGGCCCGAGGCCAGGCTCGACTTGTGAGAGCCTCATATCATAGCAGCATTATTTTGAACATTTACTTAGCCTTTTTTTGGCTTAAGTTGCCTGCTAACCGTAACTACCAATTCATTTCCCAATTCAGATTCGGTAATTTTAACCGTGTCTATCAACTAACCTGGAGTTAGTTGATATCTAGTAACTATAATTACTGCCCAGTCTCAGAACTCTGAACTTGTGAGTATTAACTATATATCATCTGCACATCATTTATCTATTCTAAGTCATCCTGTAGCAGTTTTGATTCATATTATGCAATTAACTCACTATTTGCCATCGCCAAATTTGCTAAGGTTGTTGACCAGACCACACACTAGAAAGTGAAGGGTCGACGCCGCGTCGGTCCGTCCTGGACCATTCTCAAGTCGATTGAGAATGGTCCAGGACGGACCGAAACGTCGTCGTCCCTTCACCCTCCAGTGTGTGGTCTGGTCAACATATCTCAGCCACGTTATTGTGACTCCTCGTCTGCTAAGGTTACTGTCTTTTTCCAGAGATAAGGCGGAGTCAAGAAGATTGGAGACATTGGAGACGTGGAGGCTTAGCAGTGGGTACGGCTTAGTACGTCAATTGGCCGTACACGCACGAGAGCTGAGGTGGCGTGCGACCAAGAACACATGGCGTACCTTGGGACCCAAGCACTTCGCAGGGAGAGAAACTGCGCCAGGAACCTGATCAAGCCGCCAGACTCCGTGCAGCAGCGTGTAACAGCCTCGTTGATCGGGCCGCCACAACCAGGAAGGCCTGGTCAGAGTTCAATGTAGGGTACGAGACCCAGTTCTCGTCGAATTACCGTCAGCAACTTGGCTTCTTTCCCCTGACAGTCTTGATATGATCATTCATGTTGATCGCAACCTGACGCATGAACCAGGCTGTGATGCATACGTCAGGCTGCGAGCAGCCGCGTCCAACAGCCTAGTTGACCAGACCACCAACCAGGAGGCCTGGTCAGAGATCGGGCCGCGAGGACGATGATCCTCGGAATCACCACAAGGTAACCGGATCTCTAATCATATAAAACCCCCATGAAAATTTTGATTGTAATGTATCAAATTAAATAACACGTTAATTTAACAAAGTGTTCAACATTCATATATTTTCTCTAACCGAGGTGCGTTACACTTAACGATTTATGCATAATTTAACTGTAAACTTGTAATTCCTAAAATATTTAAACACTTCTTAAAACATTGTCATTATAGAGTATATAGAGAAATATATATTCGATATTCGATTGCACCAGAGGTGGTACCCCCCCCCCCCCTATATATATTCGATATTATATGTTTCATTTAATAAAACTAACGTTTTTTATATTATGAGAAGTAATTAAAGACCTGATGTCCGATAGCGAGCATAAACGGCGATGGGTCACATTTTGCCCAAACCCCCCTGCAGTTTTCAAAATATCCCAAACATCCCAAATTCGATACCTGAGCCATATTTTGAACCCAAATTCTGGCTCTCTGCACCTATTCGCAGTTTGAAATTCCGACTTTTTATACCAAAAATCTGCCAATTACTGTAAGCGGCAGTGGGTCACATTTTGCCCAAACCCCCCTGCAGTTTTCAAAATATCCCAAACATCCCAAATTCGATACCTGAGCCATATTTTGAACCCAAATTCTGGCTCTCTGCACCTATTCGCAGTTTGAAATTCCGACTTTTTATACCAAAAATCTGCCAATTACTGTAAGCGGCAGTGGGTCACATTTTGCCCAAACCCCCCTGCAGTTTTCAAAATATCCCAAACATCCCAAAACCGATACCTGACCCATATTTTGGACCCAAAATCTGGCTCTCTGCACCTATTCGCAGTTGGAAATTCCGACTTTTTATACCAAAAATCTGCCAATTACTGTTGGCAGCGTTTCGGGCAAGTCCTTAATCTAACATATCAGGTAAGATGAAAAGGTACATTGTAGCAAGGTTTTATATCAACAAATAACTACAATGCAAATTGGCCGAGGTGATTACGCTGGTGAAGATAAATGTCTTAAGTACTAATATTGTAGAAGTGGTTAGCACAAGATACAGTGTGATTTTGAAGCATAAGGTAGGAAACTATGAGGATAAAATTAGGTACTTTCTTGTTTTACTTATGAATAAGGCACAGGTTGGACAATTTTTTAATTCATTAGGAAGTGACTTCTATAGACTGGGTCCTTTTACAGGTATTTGCATGGAGTGTTTGTACAGAGTTAGTTTGACTCTTGGGGGAATATCAAAAATATACTTATTTCTAGTGTTGTGATCATGGGTTCTATTACACTTTTACACATTCTATTACACATTCAGGGCACCCTGAATGCCCCTGTTACCTAGCAGTAAATAGGTACCTGGGAGTTAGTCAGCTGTCACGGGCTGCTTCCTGGGGTGTGTGTGTGGTGTGGGAAAAAAAAAACAAAAAAAAAAGTAGTTAGTAAACAGTTGATTGACAGTTGAGAGGCGGGCCGAAAGAGCGAAGCTCAACCCCCGTAAAAACACAACTAGTAAACACAACTAGTAAACACAACTAGTAAACACTTATAAAGGAAAAGTTTCAGATCAAGATTAAGCAGCATTTACGAACAAGGTTTTGTACATGTAAATAGCACATGAGAATGTGTGGAGTGAGTGTATGTTTAACATGTTAAGGGACTCAGAGTAGCTGTGTGTTGTCTGAAGACAGAATTTGTTATAGTTATGATAGCAGATTTTTGCAAAGTGATGATGGCCTTAAGGAGGTAGTTTGCAGTGGTTGAACCCCATGCACAGATACCATATGTACGATAGGAATAGATTAGCACATAGTGTAATGAGAGGATAGCAGAGTGGGGAACATAATATCTGAAGATTTTAGAAAGTATACTGTACTTTTTTTTTTTTTTGAGCACTCAGTTTTTGGGGGCTATGTGCTGCATGTGGATGCTCAAGTTCAGTCTCTTGTCTACGTATAGGCCAACAAACTTTCCCTTCCTTTTTACTGGTAATGTTAACATTGTCTATCTGAAGTTGAATTTAATTTGATGATTTACTACAGTACCAAATAAAATGTAGTAAGTCTTTTCTATGTTCAGTGTGAGTTTGTTGGTTGACATCCATGAGTGGACTTTTTTTAATTAATTGAAAATATTATTTAGTGTGTGGAGGTCGGGGTCAGAATAGATGAAGGTAATACTGTCAGGAAATAGTATATATAGGTTTAAGAAAAAATCCACAGGAATTCTTTGATATATCACATTAATGTGCTTTCTCTGTGTATATAGGTTTAAGTCTTGACGTACTTCCTCCAAACCAGCAAGACTGGCCTGCAGTTTAGCTTGTGTGGATATATATTTACTAAGTCCAAGTTCCATTTTCCTGTCCACAGTTCCAAACTCAGTACAGTATGTTATTACCTTATTAGGACACCACACCCTGCCCTGCCATCTTCCGCCACTGGCCTGTCACAATGTACCTGTAAACTATTATTGCCTCTTGGTAACCAAGGTACAATGCTTCCATATAAACACCATAATTGTCCCGGTTCATGCTGAATCTTTTTCACGTTGAGAGGTACAATTTCTACTTATATTTTTTGTACTTCCCAGGAAGCACTCCTATTACACTGTCGAGAGGGAGGAGGGCTTGCAGCAGTATTACAGCGTATTCCCTGAGGTCATTAGCTAATGAATGCAACCAAAAATGAGGAACTAAACACTATGGGATCCTCAGAGTCGGTATGGTGCAACATACTGACTGGTATGTGGGTATGTTGGTACCATACTATACTGGCATGGTACTATCAAGATGGTAGCAAACTGACTGTGGGAGTATGATAAAGGGCTGACACAGCAGCGGCAGAGGATGTTGCAGATCTGCATGATGTGATCAAAGCGGCATCAGAAACCCAAACCTTAATAATGGGGCATTTTAACCATGAGACCATAGCTTGGGTAAATCTAACATCACAAGCAGAGGGAGAACAATTTTTAGATCTGGTTCAGGACTCCTTTCTCATAGAGCAAGTGGTAGAGCCCACACAGGGTAACAGCATACTAGATCTTGTGCTAGTCTCAGAAGAGTGTATGATTGATCAAATTCAAGTAGGCAAACAGCTGCTAACCCCCTGATCATGTGAGTACCAAATTTTAGGATGGACTACAAACACAGAAACCTATGTAAAGATTCACGATGAATTTCTAGATCATCATCGAGGTGACTATCTAGGAATGAGAGAGGAACTGCAAAACATCTGGAGGGAGCTAATAGGTGAACATGACATGGAGACATCATGGCAAAACTTTAAAAAGCTCATCATGCAACTCGTTCAAATACATGCAAAAAAAAAACATTGTTGAATGTAATGAAACACCATTTTCTGGGTGAGACCTGGAGGCTCCCCAAAGCTATTGAGGCTGATATGGATATACAGTATTAGACTTTGGCATCAGTCAATGTGAATGGAGTTTTCGGTCTACCGGGAACCACAAGCCAGAACCTGGCTCCCTCAGAAGAGGTACGAGGAGCAATGGCCTATAGAAACCCCCTTGTGGTTGGAAGCATTCAATGTCTTCAAAAGGTCAAGTGTAACACAAACAAGGAGCAACGGTTTCAAGCTCAATAAGCCATAACAATAAAGGACTGAGAACAGGAGATGCTTTTTCACCCACAGGGTTATTAACCCATGGAACAGTCTACCCGCCTTAGCCGTAAATGTCAAAACTCTGTTAAATAATCTTCAAAGTATAGCTGGAAAAGATTATCAAGGCAAATGGCGGACCTTCGACAAGCTGCCGCTGGCTTCCTGTCCTCGTCAAGGCCACTTGTGTTAGTGGGTCTCGGGTAAATGCAGGTAATAAGAAATGCTTATAATATCTTTTGTTTAATTATTTTTATTTTAATTATTATTATTCTGTTGTGTGAAGCCTGCAGTGACAGTCTCTCTATTTTATTTTTCCATAAGTTGCCACTGGAGCACAAGAATACAATGTCTTCCAATATTCATAAGTGTATTAAGTTAGAGCTCAAAGTAAGCAATTATCAAAAGAAGGCACCAAGCCGGGAAGGATGTGTAGCACCATCAAATGTGTGGAATAATTATAGAGCGCTAAATATCACTAAGGCTGCCAATATGAGAACAGAAACACATAAGGCGAACGATATCAAAGGTATCCATTTCACCAAGAATTCTATCGAGGGACAAGTGACCGCGAGGGACAGTCGGGAAACAAGACACACGTGTGTCCTTGAAGTCAGGACATTCAACAAGGATATGCATGACCGTAAGAGGGACAATGCAGTTTGGACAATAAGGAGCATGGTGGCGCTCCATTAAGTGCCTGTGAGTAAGCAGGGTAACCCTAGTTGAGTTCAGACAGTACGAGAGAGGAATGTAAAGAGAGGAGCTTGCGCCTATCCGCTTCCCAAGAAGTATGAGACATGACCTTCAATAAGTTAAGGGCATTAGAACATTCAACTCTGGGATAGATATGGGATAGGAGATATGGGGTGACTAGGAGAAGCGAGAGTAAAAGATAAACCCCCAGAAGTTTAGCAGAATCCTTATACAAAAGAGGATTACCATAAAGGGACAGAGGGGGTCGAAGGACGACCTGCTGTAAAGGTCATAGTGCATGTCTTAGCCGGAGAGAACTTGAAGCCATGATTGGTGGCCTAGGACGACACGGCATCAATCGCAAGTTCAAGCCGCTGTTAAAGGAAAGGCGAGTACCACCTTGACAGCAGAGGGAAAGATCGTCAACATAAAGAGCGGAGAAAATGTCAGAGGGAAGGGAGGAAAGAAGACCATTGAGAGCAACCAGGAAAAGAGTAGTGCTCAGAACACTACCTTGGGGTACACCTTCATATTGCGGAAAAGAGGCAAAGAGAGCGGTATTCAATTGCACTCGAAAGGAACGACAAGAGAGGAAGCTTTGAGGAAGAGAGGGAGATTATCATGAGGGCCAAAAGAATGGAGTTGGGACAGAATATGGTATTGCCAGATGGTGTCATATGCTTTTTCCAAATCAAAAAGGACAGCAACAATGGGGTTCTTCGCAGCAAAGGCAGTACGAATACAGACCTCCAAGTTCACGAGGACATCAGTAGTGCTGCGACAGCCAAATTGAGAAGAGAAGAGGTGATAGCATTCCAAGAACCACATCGAAAGGACACTGACATACGCTCAGAGTTTGCAGAAGCAACTCGTGAGAACAATGGGGCAGAAGTCTTTAGGGATGACCCTAGAGAACCAGATTTCCGAATAGGAAGAAAAATCGCCTGAAGCCAGTCCTCAGGGACTGACGATGACGACTCCCAAACACGGTTATAAACACTCAGTAAATACTGAAACATGCATAGAGGGAGATGGCGAAGCATCTCATAATATCATCTGAGCCCGCTCCCATAGAAATGCACAGGGCCAGGGCAGACTGGAGTTCTGTGAGAAAGGATCATTATAGGGAAGCCGAAGAGAAATGCTAAAATCTAAGGGAGAAGATTCAAGAAGAGGCTTACGAGTAAGGAAAGAAGGAGAAAGATGAGAGCCGGAATTAACAGTCGAAAAGTGAGAACCCAGTTCGGTCGCAACCGACACCGGATCCGCCACGACAGAACTAGAGGTGAAGGACAGGCGAGACATCCGGAACAAACTTACTCACTATCTTGCAGATTTTCTTCCAGATCAGGGGCAGAGGAATGTCAGGTGTAATGGTGGAAACGAAAGATCTCCAACCCTCACGTTTAGCCGTACGGATGGCCCTATAGTCCACCGCACTGGCCCCCCGAAACAAAACAAGAGAAACGGGCTTCCTACGGCGACAGTGTTTCTTCCAGGCTGCACGCTTACAGCGGACAGCCCGAGCACAGTCTGCGTTCCATCAGGGAACGCACTTCTGCACGCTCCTGGAGGTAGAACGAGGAACAGAGCAGAAATCAGCATAAAAAAGTGTCAAGAAAGAGGAGGGGGGCTCGGAGAAAAAGCAGAGAAAAAAGAGGAGGGAGGGGGGTGGCTTGGTCGCCCACCTCATGAGTCTGGGAAGTGAAAAGTGGGTCAGTCATCGGTATAATAACGAGCAGGTAACAATTTCACTCACGAATAAGCCCCCATATTTATTTACAAATTACTGTACATTACAAACTTCATAATCCTACTACAGACACAAAAATCTAAATCATATCTTAATCTGCTAACATTTAAAAATACACATATTCTCTCTAATCATAGAGGCAAAAGAAAAAATGCTAATTTAAACAAAATATAGAGGTTAAGGATATTTTTAATATTACAGGTATTTCTATCCATATACTCTCTCTCTCATGTAATTAGATAGGAGTAATATGAGGCTGTGGAATTAGATCAGGAAATTCATTCTTATCAGAAGGATCAATCCAAAGTTTGACAGATTCAGTGTCTGTGCTTAAGTCCTCATCATCACCTTCTGCACCTTCTAAATCTTCACATTTGTCTGAAGAAAGTAATTTCTTTTTCATGCCATTGAAGTTGTTTCTAGAGATGTTGCGAACTACTCGATCCCTGGAATAAAACATATGACTGTACATATTGTACGTGAATGATTTATATAAAACAAAGCCTCCCTAAAAGTGTTTTAGAATGAAATGAGTAATAAACAATAACAAATGAATAATAATAAATATGCAGTACACTATATTGTGTATCCTTAAGACATACATCAGCAACAACTCGTCTAAATCACACGTACCATATTTGCCCACATCAAAGGGGTAAGTACTTATCAAAAGAAGTCACCAAGCCAGGGAGGCTATGTAGCACCATCAAATTAAACGTGTGGGATACTCAAAAGGTGCTAAATACCACCAATGATGCCAAGGGACAGATGACCGCGTAGGACAGTCGAGAAGCAAGATGCGCACACAGCCTCGAAGTCAGGATATTCAATAAGGATATGCATGACTATAAGAGGGACAATGTAGTTTGAACAATAAGGAGCAGGGCAGCGCTCCATTAAGTGCCCATGAGTTTAACGGGTATAGCCAATGTGCAACCTTGCCAGAGACGTTTCTCCACCACTGGTTACTGTGGTAGAAGGAAGGCCATGGGGACACGCTATTCTTAAGACCCCGCAGTTTGTTACCAGTAACAGAAGACCGTCGATCCTGCCAACGGGCAAGGATTGAGGAATGAATAACTGGGTAGAAGTCGAAATAAGGAACACCTTTGCAGGAAATGGGACAAGTGTGGATAACCTCCTTAGCAGCAGCATCATCAGCACGCTCATTTAACCTCCGCGCTGCACGGCTTTCATTGTGACATTCTGGTAGTGCTCGTAAATTGGAGCGTTCCCCAAACAATTTTTTTCTTTGTACTGTCTCCACTCGATCATCCGGACTATATGGGAAGGACCCCCAGCCGGATTATCACATTTTTCGGATAATGGTACTTTTTCACCTACGAGTCCAAAAGTGACCATTTCCAACTATTTTTATACTACAAACAACATAATTTGAATTCCCTTACCACATACAATTATTAAATATTCAACTAGAAACCTCAACTTACCTTGTTGGTGTTCGTCTTCTTGATTGATGCCACACATCTTGAAGTTAAAAATTCTTAACAATTTACGTAACCTATACTAACACAACACTAAAATTAACACTTAAAATTACTGTACAGTTCATTAAGCTAAGTTAGTTTTGAATGCCAGCTGCCGAAGCCTCACTAGTTAAAGGCATTTGGGTTGCCTGTGAGGCCTCACTTGTTGAAGGCGCTTGCTTGCACCTCACTTGTTGAAGCGCTTGCATGCCCTCACTTGTTGAAGGCGCTTGGCTTGCCTGTGATGCCTCACTTGTTAAAGGCGCTTGCTTGCGCCTCACTTGTTGAAGGCGCTTGGCTTGCCTGTGGCACCTCACTTGTTGAAAGTGCTTGGCTTGCCTGTAATGCCTCACTTGTTGAAGGAGCTTGGCTTGCCTGTAGCGCCTCACTTGTTGAAGGCGCTTGGCTGCCTGTGACGCCTCACTGGTTGAACAACACGTAGCTTGTCTTTAATTGCTAGGACAATCTTCTTCCTCTTAACACTTCCAGAACGATTGATGCTGCTACCAGACATAGTCTTGGCCAAAAATGCTCAAAGTTACTATGAAAATAAAAAAGTTATTTAAAAAAATATTTCACTAATGGCGCAGCAATGTGTATAACACGAGGGACAGACGCACATGGGTTGACCAGTGTTGGACGGGTCCACTTGGGGTGGAGCAGCTATAGCACGTTACGTAGGCCGCCAGGAGGAAAAAAATTCACAATATTTTTGAAGGAAACTTCAGCCTGTGCACAATGCTTTTAGGAAACTTATTTATTTGTTATTACTTAATTACTAGTACTTATTTCATTTGTTTTTGGCTATGATTAATTGTTCTAAAATTAATGGTAATTCCTGTACCCAGGTGGTCCCTCCTGATGCACCCCTCCCACCCTCCCAACACCACCCACCCACCCCATCCCCTCCTCCACCATGCGTCTAGAGCCACAGACGGGATTAATACGGTATGGCCGTATTTTCATCTGGCCAAACCAGCTTTTATCCGGTTCCTGTGGCCATTTTGGCCGGATATTGTGATAACTTTATCCGATCACGATTTTGGCCGTATAAGGGCGTTTTCCGGATGTTTGAATCTCGGATAATCGCGGGGTTACAGTATATTGTTAAAATCTTTTCCATGAACATGTACATGTAAAAAAAAAAAAAGCACTGAATGTAATGAAATACCATTTTCTGGGTGAGCCCAGGAGGATCCCTGGAGCTATCGGGCTAATGTGTGTTATACAGTATTAGACCGGGACATTAGCTATGGAGTTCGACCTACCAGGGACCACAAGCCAGAACCTGGCCCCTTCAGAGATTGCAGGGAGCAATGGCCCTGGAAAATTCCCCTGCGGTTGGGGTTTACAAAGTGTGTCCCCAGTCACCGAGGCTGTGGTTCGCAGGTAACGGCAGAGAACCGCAACTGGACACAACACATGATGCACTCCCGGCCTAACCAACCAAGCATCAACAAAACAAGGACCCCTCCGGAAAGCAGCAGTCTCATTCTTCGCCAGAAAAGAAGGGACGGCTGCAAATGAACAAACTTACCATCAGGGTATAGATCGTCGCACGAGGGTGTGGAGCTCCCCCTTCCCCCTCCCAGGGAGGAATGAACTGCGTAGACAGCGGCGCGGTGACATGGTGACGTCATGCTTGTTTGCTTGTTTTCATTTAAAGAGTTCTGTCCACTAGTTTCGGCTTTCAGTAGCAATATTTAACCAGAATAGGGAGTTTGTTTTGGGGCGCTTACCTTTCTGGGTGCCTGACCCAGTCGATGGCAGACATGGAATGCTTCCAACCACACAGGGGGTTTCCATAGGTCATTGCTCCTCGTGCCTCTCTTGAGGAGGCCAAGTTCTATCTTGTGGTCCTCGGTAGGCCTGACAACTCCATTCACATGACTGATGCCAAAGTCTAATATATCCATATCAGCCTGGATAGCTACAGGGAGCTGAATGGGCTCCCCCCCCCCCCGGAAACCCCTATGGAAATGGTTTCCCGAATGCACCAGGGAAGGGAACCCTAACACGCAAGGGCAGTACTTACAGGGCACCTAGGAAAGGAAGCCCCTAAGCGCATGCAGCCCCAGCACTGATGAGGAACACCTGGCCACCACACACAACACTTCGCCACGAAGGCAAAACACCGCCTTGGATATCGAGGCCAGAGAAGCCCTGGACCACATCAGCTAACGAAACGAACTGGAGTGCTGGGTAGCCGGCGCATGGAGGTCCGTGGCTCCCCCCTCCCCCCCTTTGGGAAGGGAAGGGCTGCATAGATGAGCGGCACAGCAGTGGAGTGTGACGTTTGCTTGTTTCCTGGGGATTGGAGGGAGTTCTACCTCTCTTTTCGGTTTTCAGTTGTAATTTTCTTACAATGTTGGGTTTGTTTTGTTATGCTTACCTTTCTGGATGCCTAACCCTGGTCGATGGCAGGTAAGGGAAAAACCCCAACCACAGGGGAGGGGGGGGTTCCAGGGCCATTACTTCCTGAAACCTCACTGAGTGGGCCAGGTTCTGGCCCACAATCCCCGGTAGGTCAAACTCCATAGGCTAATGCCCCGGTCTAATATATCACACATTAGCTTGATAGCTCCAGGGAGCCGAAGGGGTTCCCCACAGTAAAGCTAACCAAGCACTTGGAATAATCAAGCATACCTTTGACTTTAATGAAAAGAAGGTATAAATGCAAATTGTATAATTCTATACAATATATTGTAAATTCAACTGTATAAATCTCTGGTGGGCCCCCATTTGCATTACTGTATGCAAGCATGGAGAGCTCATCTTCAGAAGGATATAGTTAATCTGGAGAAAGTGCAACACCAGGCGATAAAAATCATTTCAGAGCCAAGTCAACTCACGTATGAGGAACAGTTGAAGGCCACAGGGCTAACAAACACTGCAAACCAGGCATAACAGGGCGGATCTCATTGAAACTTTCAAAATACTGAACAATTTGGAGGATATTGATCTTGAAATTTTTTTAAATGGTCAGATGCAACAGAAACAAGGAGCAATAGTTTCAAGCTCAACAAGCCACAATGGAGGACTGAGAACAGAAGATGCTTTTTCACCCACAGGGGTAATAAACCCATGGAACTGCCTACCTGCCAAAGCTATAAATGTAAAAAAAACTTTTATCTTTCAAGATACAGGTGGAATAGATCAAGGCAAATGGGGGTACCTTCGACACGCCAACGGCTTCCCATCCTCATCGAGGCCACTAGTGTTAATGGCTCTCAGGTAAACTCAGATACACACAGAAATCAAACTAACGTAATATAAATCAATGAAAAAATCCACTGGGGGGCTGTGAGGTGACACGAACCAGCGACTAAGGCATTGCCAGCCGCATACTCTTCCACTGTACCACTGTGGACTTGCAAAAGTCGATTCAACTCAAGTGCTTGTGGATTATACGTAAAAACTTGGACTGGCTTTAGTGGGGACCTTCAGACTTCCTGTGATTTCAGTAGAAATCAGGTTGCATGACTTTTACAATTCTCAGTAGTAGAGTGGTAGAGTATGCAGCTGGCAATGCCTCGGCTTCGCAGGTTAACGTTGCCTCACAGCTCCTGTGGATTTTCTCATTGATACAGTATATATCACCTTAGCATGATTTCTGTGTATAACTTTTATCTTCCACTTGCTCATTGAGGATTATTGATCAGCTTCATCTGTTTCTCCATCTGAGTACTCTAATATGAAATACATATTGGATGTGTCTTGTTCATATTTTTCTTTTTAGGGGTTAGTTATTAAAATAAGGCTATTTTAGTTATTGAATCACAAGCCAATGAGATGAAGTACTTAATACTGACCATGGCATGTGTTCTAATGCCCATTTCATATGGCCTCAAAGTGTTCCTGTATGGACTTGCTGCACTCGCTAGAATCATAAACTACATTAATGAGCCAATTTTGTGTGTTTGTTCAGGCCATTTTGGGGCTCCCAATCTGCCCCTGCCGTTAAACATGTTTTTTCTTCGTCACTCAGTCGAAGATTTTATTGATATCAGCTTGTAGTTTTCAGTGTCTTAAACATTAGTAACTTCATGCTGATTTATTTCTTTTATAACTGTACAAGATGGCATATAGCTGTGATTTAATTTTTTTTTGTCTATTTCTGATATGAGAATGCTAAAATGCAGTGGTGCAAGGACCCCAACCATCACCACCCACCACAGACTATAAGAATTTTTGCATGAAATATGTACCGAATTAAGCTACATTTTAGAATTGGGGGCCCCTAATATTCAAGAAAATACATTTATTCCTCAAATGAGTCCCTCTCCGGTCCCAAATGAGTCGGTCGGCCGAGCGGACAGCACACTGGACTTGTGATCCTGTGGTCCCGGGTTCGATCCCGGGCGCCGGCAAGAAACAATGGGCAGAGTTTCTTTCACCCTATGCCCCTGTTACCTAGCAGTAAAATAGGTACCTGGGTGTTAGTCAGCTGTCACGGGCTGCTTCCTGGGGGTGGAGGCCTGGTCGAGGACCGGGCCGCAGGGACACTAAAGCCCCGAAATCATCTCAAGATAACCTCTCATCCTGGATCATACCCCTACACACAAAAATCCCTCTCACCTTGGATCATAATTGCCATCTTTCCTCAGATGAATGCGTTCATTAACTCTCATATTAGCTCCGTCCTTCAGTAGTTTAATTGCCACGCGGGCAATGTTGCGAGAGTCATCCAGACCACAATGTGGCTGACCCTCAAATTTCATCCCCAGATTTTTCAACATCTCCTTCAAACACATCTGGAATAAAAATAATTATGAAGCCATATCATTCAAATATCTGGAATAAAACAACCTTTTCTTATTCATTATTAGATGCTAAACATGACTACCTAATTTGGACAAATCCACAAGGGCCGTGACGAGCATCCTCGTCACGGCCCTTGTGGATTTGTTCATTTGATGCATCACGTTAGTGTGATCTCTGTGTGTACCTAATTTGGAATTTACATCGGATATTTAACCCTTACACTGCTACAGCCTGGGCTCTAAATGGGGGTATAAGCTTGGTCTGGGCAAAAAAAATATTTGAATTATGTGAAAAGGGAACACATAAAAAGGGACTGTTAAACAAATCTCCAACTTATTGGCTTCAGCGTCGTGAAAGTTTCATCCCAATATTTTCAGAAATGGATTTTAGACAATTTTTTTTAATATGAAGAACGTTTTATTGATAAGGAGAACAGCTCCTATTAACTGGAACTGAGGGAGAAGAATAGTAGTTAGAAGTGCCCACAAAGTGGATATGCAGCTGGTGCCTTTATAGCATTGCTGAGTAATACATAATAACACCAATAATAACTGCCAGAACTTGGGACTGAATTTTTTTGGCTCATTTTTTTTCACAAATTTCAAACTCTATTTTCTTCATTTTTTTTAGGTTGTTTTGATGGTTAGGGACCAGATTAGGGCTTTTTCACTTATATAAAGTATACATCTTTATCCCTTGAATAATTATAATTATCCCTATATTTTGTTTCTTTGGGGGGGGGCTATTTTTTCTTAACCTCATTCCAACACACATTGACCTACAACTGTCAAATATTTGTACTGTGAGGCGTTGATTTCATTATTCCCTGTCCTCATCCGCCTCACAGGACTCTCTCGACACCGCACCGAGCCACAGTGGGTCGTCTCTCAATGGAGAGACAAATCTATCTATATCCTCCCTAAATATGTCGAGTACAAATGCCAAAATTTTGTATTAAAACATACAAGTAAATTAATGAATTAGACCTACCTTATACATTGTCGATTACTTCAACTTCAATTACTGTATCTCTAAAACTAGAGTTTCAACTTTGAGTCAGCTTAACCCTTAAAGTGCGCATCACTTCATATGAAGTGTAAATCATTTTACCAGTCAACTGCGCTTCACTTCATATGAAGTGTATGGCTACCGCGCACGATTTGAATGGCCCGCGGTGTAGCTGGGGGTCCCATACGCTGCCCAGGGGCTCTAGTAAACAGCGGCCATTTTGAAAAAAAATCCAGCTCACGCTCTGATGGCATGGGAGGCCTCAGTTTAGCGAGAGTCACCATGGCGAGCGCACGGTCAAACGCCTCACGAGAACGCATCACTCAGTCCCTCACCCCAGAGCAAATAGCCCACGAATTATTCTCTGAAGGTGAAGAAAGTGTGTTTGACGATTCAGACAACGATGAGGATTATACACAGTTGTCGGGAGATAGTAGCAGCAGCAGTGAAAGTGAGAATGACCGCCATGCCATGGCGAGGCCTATACGCTCTCCCATGCCTCCTCGCCCATTTTCTACCCCAATTCTACCACGACCTCACAGTTCCTGTGGATATTTTCTGTTTGAGGGTGACGAGTCAGAGGGAGGTGACTCCTTTTCTGGGTTTAGTGACTCAGATCAAAGTTTTATTGAGCCTGTGGCTGGTTCCAGTGGTGTAACTGGGCGAGAAATTGTCGCGTCAGCAGCATCTCGCCCAGCCAAGCGCCACTGCATGGCACCACATGAGGCACCAAGACCCTCGTGTTCACGTGCACCCACCTCACGTGCACGTAGCCGCCGTGCTTCTCGCAGACGGTATTCAGCTCCTGGTCGCCGGTATGCATCGCTTCCTCGCCGTCTTTCCTCTGCATCTCGCAGGACGCCTGGTGTACTTGAGTGGAGTGATGGTGACGATTTTATTCCTAATATTCCTCACTTTGACGATAAAGATGTAGGGATTACAAACCTTTTCCCTAATCAAGGTGAGGACATGGCTGAGATGGAATATTTTACAGCATTCTATGATGAACCACTCATGGAATACATTGTACACCAAACGAACCTGCATGCTGCTTACCTGATTGAGAGGGAAATCACAGAATTTTCACGACTGCAGCGTTGGAAAAATACCACAGTGGCGGAAATGTATGTGTTTTTGGCACTCTGTTTGTTGATGAAGCACTGTCACAAACATGCAATAAATGACTATTGGAGCAAGGACAAGACAATACCAACACCTTTATTCGGGAAATATATGTCACGAGACAGGTTTCAGATACTCCTCAGGTGTCTACATTTTGGAAGTGTTCAGGACCGAACACCTGATGATAGACTGTGGCGAGTGAGGCACTACATGAACGATGTTATTGGAAAATTCAGAGATTTTTACGTACCAGCACAGAAGCTGGTGGTTGATGAATCTCTCATACTTTTCAAGGGACGTGTTCCATTCAAACAGTACATTCCCTCAAAACGAAACCGATTTGGCCTGAAATTTTTTGTTCTTTGTGATTGTGAGACAGGATACGTGTTACACATGATTCTGTACTCGGCTAGTGATGTAGACATTCCCGGTAACGACGAACATGGATTCTCGGGGAGTGTAGTGAAGACCATCATGGCTCCGTGGATGAACAAGGGACACATTTTATACACAGATAATTACTATACAAGTCCCTTGCTAGCTCGGTTCTTGCTAGAAAATAGAACCGGATTGGTTGGTACAGTAAAGCCACAACGAAGGGAAATGCCTGTGTTTGACAACGACATTGCAGTTGGTGAGTGTCAGAGAAGGAAAAGTGATAACATTCTGTCAGTTCGGTGGAAAGACAAAAGAGAGGTGAACTTGTTGACAACAATTCATGATGGAACAATGGTGAACAGTGGGAAAGTGAGCCATAAAACAAACGCACCACTATATAAGCCAGACTGTGTTTTAGACTATAATATCAACATGCGGTTGATTGATAAATCAGACATGATGATTGGCACTGCAGAGTGTGTGCGGAAGACATGTAGGTGGACGAAAAAAGTGTTCTTCCATCTTGTGGACATGAGCATGCTGAACTGTTTCAACATGTACCTTGTGAGAACTGGACGTAAGCCCACTTTCCGTGACTTTGTATTTGATGCTGCAATACAGTTATTAGGAAAGTTTGCAAAAGATGTCCCAGGTATTCAGCGGCCCATCATAAACCCACTGTTGCAGCATGCTGGTACTCCACGCCTCGCTCACACTGAAGGCTTCCTAGCACACAAACTTAAGTATTTGCCACCTGGTGTGAAGCGTGCAATAGCCCAACGTGATTGCTTGGTGTGTAAAACAACGACACGTAGAGACAAGAAACGGAAGCTTGTGCAAACATGGTGTGAAACGTGTGGTATCCCATTATGTGCTGTCGACTGCTTCAATGACTACCACAGTCTAGAAATCTTCTAAGTGTGCTTCAAAGTGTGTATAGCGTGTGCGAGTGTGTAAATATGTAAACATATAAGCAGAACATATAATATAATAGACTGTAATGACATATTATATTGCCGTAATTGAAAACATTTGTGTGCGCCTGTGTATACTCAAATATGCAACAATTATTGATACAAAATATGTTCAAACAGTATTTGAAACACAATTAGTGAAAAAAAATTAGATAAAATGCGCTTAGACATTGTAAATAAATAGCGCGAAAATATATTTGTGGCAACTCTGGCTGTTTGAGGACCGCGCGCAACATCTCCCGGGCGTGTACTGCATGAGCGACCATGCAGATTGTGACGTCATCGCAGAGCTTCTCGGCTCTATTGCAACAAAAGTAAGTACAATAGAATTTTTTTTTTATTTTTCCCGTGATCAGTGAACAGAACTTAACAGATTAGCAAAAAAAAAAAATTTTTTTTTTTTTCAAAATGACATGCGCCTGTGTGGATAGCAGGATATTAGACCCCGAGCATGTTAAGGGTTAAAAAAATCCAGTTTCTGACTGATTCTCACCATTTTTACATATAGTGTGCGCAGCTGTCTGTTCTACAATCCTATTAGAATGGATTTTTCATAAACCCTAAACGTTTGGAGTTATAAATTTTGTTGTCTGATTTTGTAATATGCACCAAATGAATTTGGTACATATTACAAATGCCATATTGACAATTTTTTTTTACAGTAAACTAAACTGAAAATCTATATTCTAAATCTATTACAATGAAGATCATATACTATATTGAGAACATAATAACACTTAATGAACAGTTGGTGATATTTAATAATTTTGCAGCTGGTTTGAAAATCTTAAATTTTCAATACAGGTATTAAATTTTATATTTATTTTTAATTTTCTTGTTTTTTAAGTTTCGATGGTGATCATTTAAACAAAGTTGGAGCATTTGCCTAGCAGATTATGCACAAAAAATTTCAAAGCGTTAGATCAAGTCTGAGAAATTTAACTACTGGTACCATCGGGTCATCATATATATACTGTACGCCACACGCAGCTTAATGGTTAAACATCGTAATTTGAATGTGTCTAGGAATCACCAGAACTCAAGTTCAAGTCACTCCATTGCCTCAAAATTGTTTTCATTGATATACCACACATATGTGATTTCACTGCGATTTGAGTTGGGCGTAAGAGTATGAAAGCCATTACAGTGGGCCCGAGAGTGTTGGGTCAACTTTATAACACTGGTTGGGCTCCGGTTTGGGGCCTACAGAACCTCCCAGAGAACTCAGTAGAGTTCTGAGTTGGTCGATTTTTGTACCACTGTAGCAGAGTTTAAGGCAGGCTTAACATATTGATACCGAGGGACTCATAGCCCTCGGAGAAGAAAATAAAGAGTGTTCATAGAGACCTTGTGGATTCTCACTGAACTGGCCTTAGTTCAGACGACTAGATTTTCTAATTTCTTTTCTTTTCTTTCATCAGGAGTTTATTCGCTCTTTCGGGTTGTAGGTAGCAATATTCCAGGCTAGTTGTTTATTTTGGTACGCCTATCTTTCTGGGTAAAAGCCCTGGTCAATGTCGGAATATGACATACTTTACATGTAGTGCTCATACGCCATTGCTCCTTGCACCTCTCTTGAGGGAGCCAGGTTCTGGCTCTGGTCCCCGAACTCCTTGTAACTGTTGACCCCAAACTAGTATAGCACCTATCAGTTTGGATAGCTACAGGGAGCCGACGGGGCTCCACCCGGAAAATAGAGGAAAAGGAATGGGAAAGCCTCCTGTACAACTTCAAGCAGACATTTTAAATGCATTTCAGATTTTTCAAGAAATACCATATATAAATATCTCTTTCCCAGAAAGATATGAAATCACTGTCCCAAGTACAATATACTGTATACCAATTCCCTGAAACAAAGGCTAGTTTCAAGAGACTTACCTTTTTAGTGCTGTAGAAGTTGCTGTAATTTTTCCTGATGTTAATCCACTTAACTGCCCAGGAGGGATAGGGCACATTTGACATCTGAAAATATGTGCATCAGTTAAAGGCACAACCATAGTGCAATGTCATTATGTACTATAAACAAGCAGATAATTCTTTACAAAGCTTGCTTCTACATGACACTAATCAGGATACAGTATTAATAAAAATGGAGAAATAAATATAATTGATTTATGTCAATCCAATAGTATGAGAATAAAGAAAACCAATGATGAATGTAATAAAATGCTAATTTCTGGGTGAGCCCTGGTGGCTCCCTGAAGCTATATGCTGAGATGGTTATCATCTACTGGATTCACCTACCTTTCTGAGTGCCTTCCCTGATAGATGGCAAAATATGACATACTTTAAATGTAAAGTGCTCAAAGGCCATTGCTCTTTGCACCTCTCTGAGGGGGGCAAGGTTCTGGCTCTGGTTCCTGGTAGGCAACGAGAACTCTGCAACTGATGACCCAACTAATAAAGCACTATATCAGTAACATAGCTTCAGGGAGCCGACGGGGCTCTCCACAGAAAAGAAAGTTCCAATATGGCAATAACCACATACACAGTATGCAATAATAAAAATAAGATTTTTTAAATGGGTCTAGGCAAAACACATTATATCTAAATGGAACAATTATAACAATATTAGCATTATTGCTAAATAAACTGGACAATAATAATGAAAATCAATATGTGACAATAACTGCATTGGCCCCAGGGAATTATCTCTTTAAGAGATTAATCACACTAATTCAAATTATTATACATATGAATGGACAAACGGGCTTACCAGACACTGCTGGAAGAGAAATCTTCCCATGTCCCATGGCCCATCAGTTACAACAGCAAACTTATCAGGTTTTGTTAAGAGTTTATTCTCTTCTAGCCACTCTTCAAACTTTTGTAGAACCTCAGGAAATACGGGTGCAAAATTAACTTTATCCTGAAATAAATTAATGGAATCAATAAGACAAATTTCATCATCTCAAGATAAAGATAGTTTTGCTAAAGTTAATTAGAAAGTGACACCGGTACTGGCATAAGCAATAAGGATGTATTATCTTTACACAGGTGAGAGAGTATGTGTTAGCTTAAACATTCACTTCACATTAACGAGTGAAGCGTTAATCTAGATTAACGCTTCACTCCTCTGACACAAAGCCATGTGAAGACTAAATATCAATATACTATCAATGACAATGTGATGTCTCACTACAGACTAGTATTAAAACGTAAGGAAAAACAAGTGTCTTTAGACAGATTCTAAGTAAGACAAGCAAGCAGTGAGCCACAACCAGGTTCTAGTGGTATGCCTGCAAAACGTAGGAGGGAGAATACCCCAGAAATGTCCTCACTGCCTGATGTTATAATGGAATGGGACTCCCCTTCCAAACAGTAACACCTCTCCTCCTCCCCCCTCATCACCATCTTCCATATGCCATCAAGAGTCCTCCATAAAGGTAAGATAAACATATGTACTGTATTATAGTTAAGGAAAATTTTTTATTCAGTATAAAATGTATTTGTAAGTTAATATTTTGGAGGATGGGGAATGGATTAATTAAATTCCCTTTATTTCTTATGGGAAAAATCGTTTCGACTTACGATACATCTCTGGGAAAGGATTACCATCGTAAATCGAGGCCCCCACTGTATCTTAGCATCATCAGCAAACATGTTCATATAATTCTGTATTCCAACTGGTAGATCATGAACATCACTGGTGCAAGAACTGTGGTAATCCACTTGTGACATTTCTCCAATCACAAGTGGACTTCTCACAATTTCTTCTCCAGTGTATGTGTGTGTGTTTAACACATCAATACAAATTATCACGAAAAACTAAATAAAGTGAGAAACAATTAAAATAAATTGGCAATGTTATTCCCGTGCAGCACTTCGTCTCATTTCTTCGGAAAAACCACAACTTCTCCAGCCTACTCCGCTAAATCACAAGAGGTAGATAATTTTTACTTGGATTTTCAAGTTTCCTGGATGGGAGGGAGGGGAAAAAGTCTATATCCATCCTGTAACCTAGACACACTCCCTGCAAATTTGAGTGACTAGCCCCAAGCATCTGGCCTTAACTTAGAAACTTAGGACAGATTAACCGATAAAAAGACATTCCCTCTTTTAGTATTGATGTGGGTACATTCTCACCAAATGCCACAGTTTGATAACCAGTGCAAACAGGGGACCTGATGGCTGAGTGGACAGTGCTCAGGGTTCGTTGTCCTAAGGGTCCAGGTTTGATCCCCGGCGGAGGCAGAAACAAATGGGCAGAGTTTCTATCACCCCTGATGCCCCTGTTCACCTGGCAGTAAATAGGTACCTGGAAGTTAGGCAGCTGCTATGGGCTGCATCCTGGGGATGTGTGCGTGTGAAAAATTTGGATTAGGGAATAGCCCGAAACGGTATGTGTGCTAGTGGCTGTACAAAAATGTAAAAACTCTTGTATATATATATAAATAATTACAAAATAAAAAAAAATAAAAAAAAAATTGCTGTCCATCACACACCAGTTGTGTTTTGTGTGAAAAATTAGGATTAAGGAATTGCCCGAAATGCTATGTGTGATAGTGGCTGTACAAGAATATAAGAACTCTTCTATATAGAAGGTCGGCCGAGCGGACAGCACGCTGGACTTGTGATCCTGTGGTCCTGGGTTCGATCCCAGGCGCCGGCGAGAAACAATGGGCAGAGTTTCTTTCACCCTATGCCCCTGTTACCTAGCAGTAAAATAGGCACCTGGGTGTTAGTCAGCTGTCACGGGCTGTTTCCTGGGGGTGGAGGCCTGGTCGAGGACCGGGCCGCGGGGACACTAAAAAGCCCCGAAATCATCTCAAGATAACCTCTCAAGATATATAAATAAATACAAAATACAAAAATACAAAAACTTGCTCTCCATCACACACCAGTAGTGTTGCCAGGATTGGGCAAGGAAAAGGTTTCCTAAATCCTAGACCCTAAGATGTCACTGCCTTATCAGGATGGAGTGTAGCAATATATATAAAGGATATTTAAACTCGTTAAACCATACCTTTATAAAGTCACAACTTTTGCTATCACAATTCAACACTAAAGGTAACTAATTCTGTAAAAATTGAAGTACTGTACTATATTCTGCAGAGAAGTGAGTTTGATATATACCCTTTCATACCTGAGTAATTCCAGTTAGTTCTGTGCAGAAGTTGGTCAATTTTGGGTTGACAGTCGGATGAACATATGTGTGAAATTCCTTGATGATTTGACATTTCTTTGTGTTTACCAGAATGGCTGGAAATTCGATGATCTCGTGACTGAAAAAAAATGAAAACACTTACTCGATGCCTTTACAAAGGGCAATGTTCCAAGAATATATAAATCCTGCAATACTTGTTTAGCATTTAATAACACTCAAACCCCAAATTCCTGTTTCTGTTATCTTTTATGCTCTTTTTCACATAACTAGAGCAATTAACCATACATTAGTACCCATACACATCCAAACTTCATTAATTGCCCTGAGGTATTTGGTCACCATAGCACAAAAAAACCAGTGTTGAATGTAATGAAACGCCATTTTCTGGGTGAGTCCCGGAGGCTCCCCGGAGCTATCCCAGGCTGATATGCTAATGTCAGACTTTGGCATCAGTCATGTGTATGGAGTTCTTAGGCCTACCGGGGACCACGGCCAGAACCGGGCCCCCTCAGAGAGGCAAGGGGAGCAATGGCCTATAGAAGCCCCCGTGTAGTTGGAAGCATTCTATGTCTGCCATCGACCGGAACAGGCACCCAGAAAGGTAAGCGCCCCAAAACAAACCCCTATTCTGGTTAAAATTGCTACCTAAAACCGAACTAGTGGATAGAACTCCCCAACCGAAAACAAGCAAACTAGTGTGACGTCACACACTGCCGCGCCGCTGTCTGCGCAGCTCCCCCCTCCCCGGGAGGGGGAAGGGGGAGCCCCAGACCCCCCGCGCCGGCTACCCACACCTCAGTTCTTGAGGCTGGATGTCAAAAACGCGAAAAACCGCCGACCGGAGGGAGGGAGGGATGCCGGGGAGCCTCCGGGACTCACCCAGAAAATGGCGTTTCATTACATTCAACGCTGGTTTTCTGGGGGGAGCCCTGTCGGCTCCCCGGAGCTAACTACCCACAGACAGAAAAAAGAGGGACTTACCCGGGAGTCGGTCGTCGCTCACCCCTCAACTCGAAGCCGAGACAACTGGCTGCAACCGCCGACCCAAAGCAACACAGGCCCGACGAGGCCCAGGGACATTCACAAGGTAACGAGCAGCCAGGACCCTGTTCGACCGCCAAAATCCCCGCGCCCGAATATCAGACCAAGACATATTCCCAAAGACGGCAGCAAGAGCCGCGAACTTACGAACGTCATGGGCACGGGGATAGACCGCAGGCTGGCTGGACCTAATAACCCTGCGGACGACCTGAGAGACCCGAACCCGCGAACAGGGAAGAAGGGAAACCGGATCAACCCACAGCGCGTCCCCGGACACAGAAGCTGTGGCGCGCAAATAACGGCGAAGCGCCGCAACCGGACACAAAACATGATGCACCCCCGGCCTGACCAACCAAGCATCAACCACCCATGGACCCCTCCGGAACGCAGCAGTCTCATTCTTCGCCAGAAAAGAAGGAGACGGCTGCAAACGAACAAAACTATCACTACGACCAAAAGAGCAGAAACCCCTGCGCCGGAGGAGAGCATGAAGCTCCCCTACCCGACCCCCAGAGGCCAAAGCCAACAAGAAAAGTGCCTTGGAAAAACAATCCTGGACTGAAGGGGCCACAACGAAACGAGGAGATGAAAGGAAAGCGAGCACTCTGTCCAAAGACCAGGACGGCTCAGGCGACGCATGAGCAGGCCGGAGGTGAAACAATGCACGAGACAGCTTGCGAAACGGCGCAGACGTAACATCGATACCGAAAGCAAGCTGAAGCAGCTCCGCCAGCGCCGCACAATACGAAGCGACAGTGTTAGGCATAAGATGACGGTCCTGAAACAACCACGAGAGGAAGGACAAGACCACCCGAACAGACAAGGAGCTAACACGACGAAGACGCAAAAAGAAACGGAAGGACCGCCAGGAAACTTCATACTGCCGCCGAGAAGAAGCCCTCAGGTGGGACACCAACAAGGAGGCCACCTGATCACCATAGAGATGATGATAGACTCGAGTCAAAAAAAACATACACGAAGACTCGAGGAGAAGATCGAACCAGCTACGTGCCGTACCGGCCCGATCTGCTGAAAGAGGCGGAGCCGCGGGAAAACCCTCAGGTTCGGACACCGAGCAACCAGCGCCTGAAACCAAGGCTGCGCCGGCCACCAAGGGGCCAGAAGGACAACTCTCCCCCGGTAAGTCTCTAAGCGAGTCAGGACCTGGAGCAACAGCCGAACCGGGGGAAAAAGGTACAGGAACCCCCACCTCGACCAGTCTAGCCGAAAGGCATCGACCCCGACGGCCTCGCAATCGGGGAAGGGCGCCGCATAAACGGGAAGACGCCGACGCGAAGAGGTCCACTTCGGGGCGCCCGAACGTCTGGCAAAGCCAACGGAAGAACTCGTCGTCGACCGTAATCTCCGTGGAGAGGGGAACGAAGCGAGACAGGGCGTCGGCCAAGACGTTGGACACGCCCCGTACGTGAACCGCCAGGAGAGCCAAACCCCGAGAACTCAGCAGACGAGTCACCCGAAGCGACCAACCCCAAAGAGACAAGGACCGCATCGAACCCCCGCGGTTCAGGCAATGAACCACCGGAGAGCAGTCCGAATGGAGCCGAATCGTCGATCCGCGGGCCACCCGAATCCTCCCCAGAGCAAACCACACCGCCGTGAACTCCCGCACCGTACTGTGAGCTCGACGGAAGGACGGATCCCAACGCCCCTGGCCGGCCTGGTGAGCACTGGTCACAAAACCCCAGCCGAGAGACGACGCATCCGTGTACACATCGAGCGAGGGCTCGGGTAGGCGCCAAGGCACTGAACCCCGAAAAACCCGAAGAGGAAGCCGGTGACGCAGCAACCGACGCAAGTCCCCCGGGGGTCGAACTCTGCGATCGCGAGAGAGGCGGAAGGGGGAACCCCGAAGGAACCAGAACAGCCGTCGAAGCCAAACCCGACCCGGCGGGTAGACCACCATCGCGAAGTTCAGGCTCCCGCACAGCCCCTCGAGCAACCGCCGGGTGACCCGAGGGCCCTCCAGAAACAGACGAAGGCGGGACCGCAGCCGCAGGAGAGACTCCGGAGGGAGAGACAAAGAGGCGGTTCGAGAGTCCCACACGAGACCCAGCCAAGTCCGAACCTGAGAGGGAACCAGATGGGACTTCCTCCAGTTCACCAAGAACCCGAACCCGGCGAGCTGGGAAAGAACCAAATCCCTGGCTAGCAAGCAAGCTGACTGGCTGGGAGCCCAAACCAGCCAGTCGTCGAGGTAGGCCAACACCCGAACACCTAGGAGACGCAAACGAGCCACCACAACCCGTGTAAGGCGTGTGAACACGCGAGGTGCCAGGTTCAACCCGAACGGGAGACAACGAAAGCGGTAACTCAGACGCCCCACTACAAAACCGAGCCAGTCCCTGAACCGCGGATGAATCGGGACATGCCAATAAGCGTCCCGGAGGTCCAGGGACACCATCCAAGCTCCCGGCTCCAAGAGGAGCCGAACCTGAGACAGCGTAGTCATCCGAAAGGAGGGGCAATGAACCCAGGGGTTCAGACGGGACAAGTCCAGAATGAACCGCAGGTCCGCGCAGTCCCGTTTCGGAACCGGAAACAGACGGGAAACCCATCTGAGGGACGACGTCGTCTCGACGACGCCCAAGCGTACCCACTCCAAGACGACTCGACAGAGCGCAGGGGAAGAAACCTGCCCTGCCAGCCCCGACCCCCCAAAGGGGGGAGGGGCCACCCAACGCCACCGCAGGCCGCGAGACACGACCCGAAAGGCCCACGAATCGTGGGACCAGGCGCGGGCGAACAGCGCAAGCCGCCCCCCCATCGCCCCGTCAAGGGGGCAAACCGCGAAAGGGCCGGCGACCCTTACGAGACCCAGAACCCCGCACAGCGCGAACACCGCGCCGACCAGACGAGGGAGGGTCCGCAGGAGGAGCCAACCCCAAACCTGACACCAGAGGCCTACCACGACGAGAGGAACCCCGAGCCCTGGCACGACCTTTCCGGGAAGACCCACCCCGGGACCCCCGGAAAACCAACAAGTCCGACATCGGACGACAAGCCGCCGACGCAGCCTGAATAAACTGCGCCACGGCCGACTCCCCAAACAGGAGAGGACAAAAAGGTGAAGAACGCCTAAGAGCCAGAGCCCAAGCAGATTCCACGGAGGAACCCAGCACCGCCTGCCGACACGCGAGACGGGAAGCATAGAACAGGGAAACCGCATCCCGCAAAATCGGCGTGAACAGCTTCAACAAGGCAGCCGACGAACGCGCAGCCGAGGACAAGGTGCCGGACCCCGGGACGGACCCAAGCGTCCCCACATCCTCCACGAGCCAATCCGAAGACAGCTCCAGGAGGGAAAAGAACCGCAAGGCCGAACACAAAAGGCCCCGGGCGCGCAAGTCCTCCGCCACGAGCGCCGCCGAAAGGGAGGGAACCTGCACATGGAGCTGAATAACGCCCACATCGCGGGGAAGGGCAGGGGCAAACAAGCACTCATTCAGGTACTCAAGTTCACCCCCCAGGAAAACCTGAAGCACCGTGGAAGCTTCCCGCCACTCCAGCGTGCGGGAACGACAGAAGGAATGCCAGGAATCCAGACCAAACAAGGGGCAGTCTGCTAGCCAGGACGACTCCGGAACCTCGTAACGGAGCCAGAAAGGGAACGAAGTCCCAAACCTGAACGTGGACGGATCCATTTCCGAGGCATAATCCGGGTCACGCAGGAGGTAAGCTGCAAAGGCCGCTCGCACCACACCAGGTTGGATGCGATAAGCCGAAAACCTCTGGAAGGACGGAACCGACGTACCCGGGGGAACACGGAACCGAACCCGGGGAGGGGCCGACACCAAATCCAACTCGTACGCAGAGGGGGGAAAAGAAAACCCCACTCCTTGTAACAATAAGCCCCGCTCAGTGGGAAGAAAAACCCAGGCGGGGTCCAGCGGGGCCCAAGGCCCCCAAGTCAGCCCCTCCCCAACCTCGAGGTCCGTCACCACAGGACCTGAGGCCGAGTCCTCTCCCCAAGCCCCGACCCCACAAGACAAGGACGGAGCAGCCGGAAAAGCTGGAGGAAATGGGGCCCACTGGTCAGACCCTGAAGCTTCGGCCGGGAGACAAGACTCGAATGCCTCTGCCGCCCCCCCGGAAGGGGCAACCCCCGAAGCTGCCCGAGTCTCGAGATCAAGTAACCCCTGCTCCGACCCCGAAACCCTCAGACGCTTCGGGGCCGGAAGCAGGGGCGGGGGACCAGAACGAACAGAAAGGGAAGGACGAGGAGGTGCGGACTGAACCAGGATCGAAGCGACCCCCACCCCCAAGTCCGGGTCTCGAAAAGCAAAGCGGGGCAGCCCCGGGGCATCCGGGGAAGCAACCAACCGAGCGCGTTGCAACAGACGAAACCTAGACTGCAACGCACGTGCCGCCCGTACCCGAATAGAATCATCAGAGGATTGGGTAAATTGAGTCACAAGCAAGCAGCAACACTCACAGGACTCAGGGTCGAAAGTATCACCGACCCAACAGGCAGCGTGGCAGAGGCAAAAACAATGAGGGTCACCCTGAGACAAGGGGACCGAGCAACCCTCAAACTCGCACACAGCGAGTGGGGACTCCGGGGTCACATCCATCGGACCCACGCGCCCCCTAGGGGATTCCCAGGGTCCTGAGCGTTTACTTTAAGAGGACTCGCGCTCAGGTAGTCCCAGGCAGGGTGCTGCAAACCGGCGCCCAAAACTACCAAGCAAACTTCTAAAGCTGAACCCCAGGGACGTGTACACTCACGGGGACCTAGCAGGGGGCGCCACCGAGGAGAACAGTGGAAGGGCAAAAACAAACTGAATAAAATGACAGAACCCCCCCACCAGGCAAAAACAAAAAGAAAAACAAAACCCCGCAAGAGGACAGCGAACCCCAAGGAACAGAGCCGGCCGCGATGTCGGGAAATACAAGCTGAGCAGCACCCTGCGCCCCTACCAGTGCAAACTGCCTCTTACCTGCCGGTAACAAGGGAGAACAGAACACCCAAGAGCCCAACAGGCGGCCGAAAAACCGAAAGGTAAAACGGACCAGCAGAGGCAGACCCCGAGGAGCCTGTGGAAGGTGGCCCCAAGCCCCAAGGGCAGTACTTACAGGGCACCTAGGGAAGGCAGCCCTAGGCGCATGCAGCCCGAGTACTGAAGATAACTCCTGGCTCTCGCACCCACAAAACTAACACCACACGCAAAGCACAGTGCAGTAGCGACACCGAAGCCAGAGCACACGACCATCGTCTATAGCATCAGCCTCAAGAACTGAGGTGTGGGTAGCCGGCGCGGGGGGTCTGGGGCTCCCCCTTCCCCCTCCCGGGGAGGGGGGAGCTGCGCAGACAGCGGCGCGGCAGTGTGTGACGTCACACTAGTTTGCTTGTTTTCGGTTGGGGAGTTCTATCCACTAGTTCGGTTTTAGGTAGCAATTTTAACCAGAATAGGGGTTTGTTTTGGGGCGCTTACCTTTCTGGGTGCCTGTTCCGGTCGATGGCAGACATAGAATGCTTCCAACTACACGGGGGCTTCTATAGGCCATTGCTCCCCTTGCCTCTCTGAGGGGGCCCGGTTCTGGCCGTGGTCCCCGGTAGGCCTAAGAACTCCATACACATGACTGATGCCAAAGTCTGACATTAGCATATCAGCCTGGGATAGCTCCGGGGAGCCGACGGGGCTCCCCCCAGAAAACAGCGTTAATGTATGAAACGCCATTTTCTGGGTCAGCCACGGAGGCTCCCTGGAGCTGGTTGATACCTGCTTGATGGGGTTCTGGGAGTTCTTCTACTCCTCAATCTTGACTTGTGAGAGTTTGGTCCACCAGGCTGTTGCTTGGAGCGGCCCACAGGCCCACATACCCACCACAGCCTGGTTGGTTCGACACTCCTTGGAGGAAACAATCTAGTTTCCTCTTAAAGATGTCCACGGTTATTCCAACAATATTTCTTATGCTCGTTGGGAGGGTGTTGAACAACCGTGGACCTCTGATGTTTATACATTGTTCTCTGATTGTGACTATGGCACCTCTGCTCTTCACTGGTTCTATTCTGCATTTTCTTCCATATCATTCACTCTGGTACGTTGTTATTTTACTGTGTAGATTTGGTACTTGGCTCTCCGGTATCTTCCACGTGTATATTATTTGATATCTCTCTTGTCTTCTTTCTAGTGAGTACATTTAGAGAGCTTTGAGACGATCCCAATAGTTTAGGTGCTTTATTGCGTCTATGTATGCCGTATATGTTCTCTGTATTCCCTCTATTTCAGCAATCTCTCCTACTCTGAAGGGGGAAGTGAGTACTGAGCAGTACTCAAGATGGGACAGTACAAGTGATTTGTATAGTACAACCATTGTGATGGGATCCCTGGATTTGAAAGTTCTCGTAATCCATCCGATCATTTTTCTGGCTGACGCAATATTTGCTTTGGTTATGCTCCCTAAACGTTAGGTCGTCAGACATCATTATTCCCAAATCCTTTACATGCTGCTTTCCTACTATGGGCACATTTGATTGTGTTTTGTACCCTGTATTATGTTTAAGGTCCTCATTTTTATCGCACCTGAGTACCTGGAATTTATCACTGTTAAACATCATGTTATTTTCTGCACCCATGTCTGAGTCCCTAAAACCAAAACGAGGCAGCCTTGGGGCATCCGGGTGGGCAACCAACGTAGCGTGTTGCAGCAACCAAAACCTATCATGCAATGCAGATGCCGCCTGTACCCGAATATCTCTGTCACGGGTAAATTCATTAGTTCAGTAAATGGGTAAATCAGAATGGGTAAATTGGATAACACGTCTCGCAGGACTCCGGGTCAAAGGTGTCTGTGACCCAGCAGGTAGCATGACGGAGACAAAAACGGTAACTGTCACCCTAAGACAAGGACACATAGCAACCATCAAACTCGCATGAGGCGAGCTGGAACTCGTTAGATGCATCCATAGGTCCACCAAGCCCCAACAGGGTTTGCCAGGGCCCATAGGCTGACAGCTACTGGAAGCCTGGGCAAGGTGTTGATTACTGGTAAGACCCAAAACTAACAAGAGGGGGATCAAAACACTGAAACCTCTGCGACGTTTACAATCACAGGGACCTAGCGGAGGGCTGGACCTAGTGTAAATGCTGAGAAGCAAAAACCCCTACGGAAATGGCATCCTGAAAGCACCAGGGAAGGCAACCCTGACACCCAGGGGTAGTACTCACAGGGGTACTTAAGGGAAGCCCACTTAGGGAAGACTTTACAGAGAACACCACCAAGGCAAAACACTGCCAGTGAACCAAGGCCAGAGATAACGTCCACCCCAGACTGCATTAACCAACGAACTGAGGTTGGGCAGCCGGCGAGGTGGGTCTGCCCCCCGGGCAGAGGGGAAAGGGGGGCTGCATGCAAGAGCAGTGTAGTAGGACGTTTGCTTGTTTGCTTGGGGGGGGGGGGGGGGGTTCTGCCTCTCTGTTCGGTTTTCGGTTGCAATTTTCTTACCATATTGAGTCTGTTGTGTTATGCCTACCTTTCTGGGTGCCTGACCCCAGTCAATGGTAGATTAGGAAAAACCCCAACCACAGGGTTTTCCAGGAGTCATTGCTTCCTGTGCCTCTCTGAGGGAGGCCAGGTTCTGGCTCATGGTCCCTGGTAGAATGAATTCCACTGACTACTGACCTAGTCTAATAGTCTAATATATTGCACATTAGCCCGATAGCTCCAGGGAGCCAAAGGGGCTCCCCACAGAAAGGTAGGTACAACAAAAATCACTTGATAACCACTTATGAAATTGAACAGATTTATATTGATACTCCAACATCTTGTGATTAACCATTTTAATTCTTTCCTGGTGTATATAGACTCTGCTGTAATAATTTTATTTTGTATTGTGCAAAACAGGTTGATTCAATAAATTTTTTACAGCTATTAATCAAGATAATAAAAAAACAAATGGCTATTTGGCAAATGAATCACAAACAAATAAAATAATATAACCGAGTTAACCGTCAACGCTCCTATTCACTTTTGTGAAAACATTTGCTTTTTCTGACTCGGTACCTGATTGACTATTTTTTTTTGCATTCAATGAAATTCACAAGCCCCTTGCTGAGGTCGAAACAAACATGATTCCCCTACGTGTTTCACACAGTTTCTACTTTCTACGTGTGTCAATCAGGGAAGTTCTCTTCCCTGATTGACACTCACACCATTTGAAGGGTTAAGGGGTATCTTTGTTGGCTCTTGTATCCGGATATAACATTGAGGAGCTAAGGCTCTTCTCTAGAGAAGGGTCTGTTCATTTGAGCTGGACGGGCAGTTTGTCTGCAGCCTCCTCCTTTTCCGGTGAATGAGCCGGTAGGCTTCCATTGGAGTCCTTTGGTAACTGATGCTTGGTTGGTTCAGCTGAAGATGCACTGGTTGTTGTGTCCAGGGGCAGCTCTTTGCTGCTATCTGCATGCCATTAGTTCTCAGTGGAAGCCTTGTTGGTTGATTCTGTTTCCTTGGTTCCCTGTTCCAGGGACTCACATTTCTCAGATTGTCTGTGGTGTTATCTAGTCTAGCCATCCTGTGATCTACCCACGGCCCATGACGTTCATAAATATTCGGCTTTACCTGCCATCTTCTTTAATATGTCTTCTCTAAACATGTAAATGACAACAAAAACTCAGTCAAATAACAGTAACTGCCAAAGCCTAAGAAATAAACATGTGACAATGGAACCATTAAGAGTTAATGGCATTTTATTGTACTGTAGATTAATTTACAAGCTTATTATTTTTCATGCTATTTAAATTTTAATTTGCATTAACTAAAATATAAAGAAAACTTATTAAACAAAAATGAAACTAAATGCACATTTAACTAAAATTATACAAAATATTGCTTACCGATATTTATGAGGATCTGCTTCATCACAAGTAGCCTCGAAGTCTATTACCACATAGTACTCATAGTACCGGTTCTGTAAAATGTCTGGATTGTCAAGGCTTTCTTCCCCAAACTTTTTATTCCTGTAGTATGTCTTCAATCTCTTCTGTAAGACAGTCTTCTTGCCATAAGTATCAAGTCCAAAGGCTCTAAGCCTCGCTGGAATGATAATATAATACATGAATGATGATAGAGAAGATAAGACCATAGCATAATAATATATGAAGAGAAAACCACAAGTTCTTTTGTCCTCATTTCAGGCGGCTCCAATTTATACCCAACCAAACTCATATGTGTCTAACCTACATTGAAGCATTCCATTGATACTACAATTATGTTACTCTATGATTTGCTTCATAAATGTTATGTAAGCAATGTGTTCAAAGTGGGTTTGAGCCAACCTAGCCTGTGAATCTACTGGTCATGTAAAGTTTCAAAGGCTGCACAAATTTCTAGAAATTCAGGTTTTATGCAGAGATTAATTCACAATAGCGTGGCTGAAAATATATAACCTAACCCACACGCATGAAAAGAAAGTGACAACTTTCAGCCTATCGTGGACCCTTGTAAAACTGCAACAGTAAGTTGATAAGGGTCCTGGATGGGCCACATCATCATCACTTCCCTTTTTTTATATGTGGGATTGGTTTATTCATGTTATATTAAATATATAGTGCACCGGGCACTCCAAATAAGATAGAATAAGAAATATGGGAATATAAATAGCCAAAACAATAATTTAAAACAATCTTGCTTCTTACATTTTAATTGGTCAATCCTTAATTTGTTTATCTCCCCATTAATTCTGGACAATTCACGAAAAATGGGATTATCATACAGTGATGGTTCCTTATCTGCCAACTCTGCAGCATTGTTCTGAAAGTAAACCAACAAATCAGCATACAGACATAGGTGAAAACACAAATATGAATTGCTTAACCATTATTTTGGCATAATTACAATAAAATTCTTGAAAATGTGGGGGATAGTATTGGCAGAGTTAATAATAATAAGGATAATGTTTCCTGGCCTACAAGGTATATATATATATACTGTAAAACTTTGCTAATTCAAACCCCATTAACCTGGACCTTTGGGTACCTGCTTGATACCTGCTTGATAGGATTCTGGGAGTTCTTCTACTCCCCAAGCCCGGCCTGAGGCCAGGCTTGACTTTGTGAGAGTTTGGTCCACCAGGTTGTTGCTTGGAGCGGCCCGCAGAGCCACATACCCACCACAGCCCGGTTGGTCCAGAACGTTTTTCAGAAAACATTCTAGTTTTCTCTTCAAGATGTCCACAGTTGTTCCGGCAATATTTCTTATAGTCGGTGGGAGGGCATTGAACAACTGCAGACCTCTGATGTTTATACAGTGTTCTCTGATTGTACCTATGGCACCTCTGCTCTTCACTGGTTCTATTCTGCATTTTCTTCCATATCGTTCACTCCAGTATGTTGTTATTTTACTGTGAAGATTTGGGACCTGGCCCTCCAGTATTTTCCATGTGTATATTATTTGGTATCTCTCTTGTCTCCTTTCTAGTGAGTATATTTGGAGGGTTTTGAGACGATCCCAATAATTTAGGTGCTTTATCGCGTCTATGCGTGCTGTATATGTTTTCTGTATTCCCTCTATTTCAGCAATCTCTACTGCTCTGATGGGGAAAGTGAGTACTGAGCAGTACTCAAGACGGGACAACACAAGTGACTTGAAGAGTACAACCATTGTGTTGGGATCCCTGGATAACTCAGCCCTGGGTAATCTGGCTGTTGTTGGACAATTGTTGTTGATCCGTACAATTACTTCAAAGGTCAAATGTAATACAAACAAGGAGCAACGGTTTCAAGCTCGTGAAGCCACTATGTGGGACTGAGAACAGAAGATGCTTTTTCACCCACAGGGTTATGAACCCACAGAACTGCCTACCCGCCTAAGCCGTAAATGCCAAGACTCTGTTGACTCTCAAAATCCAACTGGTAAAGATTATCAAGGCAAATGGGAGGACCTTCAACACGTCACTGGCTTCCTGTCTTTGTTAAGGCCACTAGTGTCAGTGGTCCTCAGGTAAATTCAGGTAAATCTTTGACTATGTCTGATACTGAGGGTGAGAAAAAGTACTGGAGCAAGCAGGGTACATTGGGGGACTGAGCATTTCATCATGGATGATCCAGATTTTACTTTGTCGATTATTACACTCTGGATTCTGTTTATTAAGAAGTTAAAGATCCATCTACTTATTTTGCCAGTAATTCATTTTGGCATGTAATTCTAATATAGCACATTTCAGTTCGGATAGCTTTAGGGAGCCGACGAGGCTCCACCAGAAAATCCAGATTCCCCACTAATTCAGACAGCCTAGAAATTATTAAATCAAATTTTTGAGACTGCACGGCACATCTTGCTTTATGAAATGGTAGGATACTATCATGGATAATTGCTGGAGTGTGATAGGGATTGTTTTTATACCATGCTTCAAAACACAAATTAAATAAATGAATAAATAATGATGTTTATTTTAATTAACATCATTACCGTTTTAACTTTATTATTCCCCTTTTTCTCAGGGCACATGCCTCTACATCCCATGAAAATAAAAAATGGTGATGATAATGAATGATCACTCACAACATACCTCTTTGTCTTCTGCACTGTCAGAACCAGAGTCAGTTTTGCTGTTTAATGGTTCAGAAGATTCCTGCTCATCACTGCAGCCAAAGGATTTTGCATTCAGAGACAAATGATTTAACGTCATCTCTGATGACGTCAAATCTTCAGCACTGGACTCAGGTTTTGGAGAAAAAGAATTGTCTGCAACAATTCCAGTTCTACCACACACTGATTCTTCCATGGTTGAGTTGAGGTTCTGACTGCAGTTGTTTACCTCATGTTCCACAGATGGAGTTCCGCCTGTGGATGCACCTGGCTTACTGCGCTCAAGTTGAAGATCTTCAGATACATCACTTTTGTTACTCAAAGTTTCCATAGTCATCAGCTTCCTCGTACAGCAATAATGGGTTCACCAGTCTTCTGAAGCAGTATTCACAATCAAATTTTACCTAAAAATTTAAAACACACAATTTACCTGAGGCCACAAAGTACATTAGCAATAATAAAAAATATAAAAGTGCAGATTCAAATATGCAGATAAATACTAAGTGAATAAATGAAATCAATAGTGCAGTATGCACATTGAATTATGTAAACTGTGCTGCTGTCATTTAAAAATTAACCAAATAAATTATCAAAATAAACTAATAAACAGTACTGAAATTGATGGTGGAGGTTAGGGGTGCTGGTGATAAGGGTGGGGATTTGACTGATAAATAATTTATACCAATAAGTTCTTTGGCAAATAATATCAAGTCATTGGTGCCAAATAATTAATATAAAAAAAAATTTCAGTGCAATTTTTTTCTCTCGGCACATCACAGGAGTGTTGAATTTAACATGTGCGCAGTGCAGGGGTTAAGGAATTTTTCATGTGAGGTTTAATGCTTAGTTTTATTTAAGACATAGCATTGATGTTTTTACATTTTTGTAAAGCCACTAGCACGCATAGCGTTTCGAGCAGGTCCTTAATCTAACAGGGCGCTTGACAGCTGAATGGACAGCTATTCGGATTCGTAGTCTTGAGGTTCTGGGTTCGATCCCCGGTGGAGGTGGAGACAAATGGGCAAAAAAGTTTATTTCACCCTGATGCTCCTGTTCACCTAGCAATAAATAGGTACCTGAGAGTTAAGACAGCTGTTATGGGCTGCTTCATGGGAGGGGTGTAACAAAAAGGAGGCCTGGTTGAGGACCGGGCCATGGGGATGCTAAGCCCCGAAATCCTCTCACGATAGCCTCAAGATAACAGGGGCTCTAATAATGCATGGGGCTCATATCACAGCCTATGCTTGGCCACTCGAGGCGCTCGATATTGCCTTCTGCAGCAAACCTAAGCCTAACATTCCGGGTATTATAGATGGTGCAATTTTCCTGTTATATGAACTAAAAATAAAAATAATGCAAATTAACAATAACTCGTAACTCTGGGCGAATATTTGATAACGTATTTTAAGGTTAAATTTAACAGAAGCCAACCAACCTAGTACAATAAAGGACCAATGACAAAGCCTGAGTAACATTACTGAATAGGTGGTAAATTAGCCTCTTTGGTGGTAAATCTTTATTAAATAAACAATACAATGTATGAATAGTGATTGCTCAGGGTATAGTGTATATTGAATATGTAACGTATTGTTACTGTCAAGGATAAAACCAAAAATGGCAGACCCCGAAGCTACTGGTTATTACCACGACTCATCCTAAGCATTACCCACCTACTCAAACACCACCACAAGACCCACACACTCAGGAATATAAGACGCACATGTAATAACAGAAGAATGCCATAAGACTTACTGAAGACTGGTCGCTACCGTCTGAAACTATACTAAACACTTGCTATACATCTATCACATATTTGACTCCATTTCAGCACAAAACTTTTACGTTTCGTATATATATAAAATTGATCAATATTAAAACATTAATATAATGCTCTTAACAGTTAAAATCTTCTATTTAACAGGCATATTGGTATTAAATGAGGTTAAGTGATGTGATGGACATAATCCGGACTTAGTAACAACGACGCCCGCCAGCGTAAACAACACGTCTTAATGCCCACGAACATTATCAAACGTACAAAAGACTAGTCAGTTTTTTGGGGTAAACTCCTATTACATTTATTATGTGATAATTATACTTTTATATAATAATACGTATTGAAGCTCAGTGCCTAATGTATGATATTAATGAATAAAAACGAAGTCAGAAGCCACACTCTTGCCTGTATATGTCTTTTGTATTTAAAAAGTATTTTGGGCGCCCATGTATTTGTGCGCTAGCTGGCGTACACAACTGTTCTCTTACAAGCATTAGAATTCAAGTTATAATAATCTTTATGAATAACGTATAATTGCATTGCGTGATTAAATAAGATTCACATTTATTTTAATTATTTGCAAAGCCACTAACACGCATAGCGTTTCCGGCAAGTCCTTAATTAATGAAACATATCAGGCAAGATGAAAAGGTACATTGTATCAAGGTTTTATATAAACAAAAACAATAAATTTATAGGTGATTCACTGAGGAAGTACTAGTTAAGATGTTTGCTAATATTTGTGAAGTAGGTAGTACAAGATACAGTGCGAGTTTGAAGCACAAGGTAGGATGAAATTAGGTACTTTATTTTATTTTAATAAAGAGTAAGTGACAATTTTTTTTAACTCATTAGTGAGCGAGTTTCATAGACTGGTCCTTTTATTGGCTTTGAGGGTTTGCACAGATTTAGGTATATGTTTGTTTGTGTATCTAGAGAAGATACATTGGGATGAGGGTGTACAACATTGTGTTATTACACTTATTAAATTAGACCAAGTAATACCTCACTCGTTAGATTGATAAAAACTCAGTTCATTGTTGATAGTTATGTTAAACAATGTTACTAGCTTACGAAGCCTGTAGCTTGTTTAGCCAAGCGAAGTATTAAATTTGGGTTCAATTTAATTACCGTTCAAAAGTTGAGTAGTTGGTGCATAATAAAAGGAATTAAACTGAAGATGTTAAATGGGAAGCAAGTTCTAAAATTACTTATTTCCTAATTTACATCATTATGGAGTCGGGTCACTTACTCCAATACCATTCCTTCAGTCTTATCTTAGTGACAGGCTCCAGAATGTTTCTGTGAATGATCCATTTCTCCCACCCTACCCATCAACATTTGTGTTCCACTGGGTAGTACACGTGGCCCTCTCCTGTGATCTGGAATAGACTAGTACTATCCTGGAAGGTGGTGTGCCAATATGAAAAAAAATAAACTATCAATTGCGGGCAAAAAACAAGAGAATAAAAACTTTAAACCATTTAATATAACAAAAATTACAAATTTTACACAATAATAAACAATGACAAAGACCCCTTGGTCTCATACACTCAAAAATAAAATATATACAAGTGAATTTACGTTACTGACAAAAAAATGAATGTGACACTCCATACAATGTGTTCTAAATATCATCCGTCACCGATTCGTAACAACGTCAAGGCAAGGGAAGACTAGCGAACTGAGTGAGCACCAAGAAGCTTCTGATTCACCGCAGCTTCTGAGCCACGTGCCAGGGCTATATATACCGGTGGTGACGTCATATTGGCGCGAAGCTGAGGCCATGAATGAGGAATCGGCTAGAGAAGTGGTTGTTTGCTGGTGGTAACAAGCGCTGGCGGGTTGTAGGAGCGTGTCTCTCCTGTGGGGCCACATTCAGCAAAAAAAGTTTCTAAAACTGTTGGCATTCTTTTTAAAATCAGATATTATGTACTTCGCTCTTCCCTTGTAATGCTCTATTACTCTCTCATCTATCTTTATCTGAATTATGGTATGTGGTTGGGTTTTACTACCCAAAATCATCTATGTCCTCTAATTACCCAACACAAATATGCTATTAAGACCAATAACAAACTCTGGCACCAGACAGCCCTCGGCCCCCCTACTTAAATCTTTGAATATGCTAGATATTAAGTCACTGCTCATCCTCTCAAGTGTACTCTATACATATAAAACTCTGAACTGTAATGCCAATCCTGGCCTTAATCGCTTCCTAGAATCTCGTAACAGAACCCATGGACACCACACTAGAAACAAATTCCTTCTGCTGTTCTATTGCATTTTCTGCCGTTTCCTCCATCATGTAATTATTATCAATCTACTTTTCTTTTCTTCTCTTTTTTTCAATTCAATTTATATTTGATCTCAATTAGTTTAAAGATTTAAAATATATATGAAAAAAATTGAACAGCTCAATACTAGCTTTATTATTATTATTATTAGCAGTAGTAGTAGTATTAGTATTATTATTAATATTATTATTATTATTATTATCCAAATATATAATAATGTATAAATGGTAGCGATGACGTAGACTGGATTCAATCTGGGCCGTTCTTGAATCCTGGTGGCAGGCAGGGGATTGTTTACACCTGGGGAGGGGGAGAGGAGCCGTGTGGCTGCCCGTCATACCAACGCTAAGAAATAGGCAGGTCATGACTCCACACTCCAGGTAACGCTAATGGATTGATTGAGTGATTTATATATGTACAAAAACTTCTTACATTCTTGTAGAGTCACTAGCAGGCATAGCGTTTCGGGCAGGTCCTTAATGCAAATTTTCCCGGGAATATGTCCCGCCAAATTGATATTATTTGGCGGTAATCCGGTACTCATTTTACTGTTGGGTGAACAGAAGCTACAGTTAAGGATTGACGCCCAGTCAGTCCTCCCCCAGCCAGGATACGAACCCAGGCCAAACCTCTCGCGAAACGTATAGTAACATGTACCATGAACCATGTATATAGTAATGTATACCAGGAACCATGTATAGTATAGTAACGAGTTTCAAGTTCTGTCAATGCCCAATGAACAACACACAAGGGGTAAGGTTTGGTGAAGACTGTTCTACATTAACTCTTTTCCGATTGTCAGAACCCATATATATCATTAGGTTATATTGATATGTTAAAAAGTATGTTGATAAGCAGGCGATGAGTCACAATAACGTGGCTGAAATATGTTGACCAAACCACACACTAGAAAGTGAAGGGACAACGACGTTTCGGTCCGTCCTGGACCATTCTTAAGTCCATTGTCGACTCGAGAATGGTCCAGGACGGACCGAAACGTCGTAGTCCCTTCACTTTCTAGTGTGTGGTCTGGTCAATATGTTGATAACTTGTGGTTGTTCTTGAACAACCACAAGTACAGTCTCTAAGCTAAGAAACTTACATATGTGGTGAGCTAGTATCATAATCATAAATATCATTCATAAAATGAATGAACATCATTCATAAAATGAATGAACATCATTCACAAAATGAATGAACATCATTCACAAAATGAATGAACATCATTCACGAAATGAATGAACATCATTCACGAAATGAATGAACATCATTCACGAAATGAATGAACATCATTCACGAAATGAATGAACATCATTCACGAAATGAATGAACATCATTCACAAAATGAATGAACATCATTCACAAAATGAATGAACATTATCATTATCAATCCCGGACAGGACATAAATAAATGCATTTCCTATAACCTAATTCACCTGTACACCTAGCAGTAAGTGGGTACTCGGGAGTTAGTGTGTTATGAGGTTGCATCATGGGCGGGGTCGGTACTGTAATTTGACCTTGGGATGGGGGGGGGAACCTCAATATATAAGCCTAACATGTATGAATACAGTCTGGCTGCCTGTCCCTTGACACAATGATTTATTATTATTGTTATTAATTAATATAATTTAATTTGCTTATCAGGCTGCGAGCAGCCGTGTCCAGCAGCCTGGTTGAGCAGTCCAGCAACCAGGAAGCCTGGTCGGGGAGTTGAGCCACAAAATCATCGCAAGGTAACCGCAAGGTATGCACACCTCTCCCACCCCTTCATTTAATGGGCATAGTGTAAACATTACAATTACCCACATTTACTACCTACAGATAGCATACTAGAAAATCTTTTTTGATAATGCCCACTGGATGGGTATGGGGTGCATAATGAACTAAACTAAAAACTAACATTTTCAGTTATTGTGTATTCAGCCATCCCTGTGGAAAGTGAAGGTGAGAAGTGTTGATATGGTACGTGCCATGCTAAAAGACCATTTGAATTACAAAATCAACACAACTAACATCATTGCTGCATACAGAGTAGGCAAAAAAAATTTACCTGGTCAAAATAAAAGGAAAATTTGCCTCAAGCTAGCTAGCTGCTTCATAAAATCCGATCTTGTCCAGGCAGCAGCAGTATCCTCTAGCAATGAGGTGTACATCAGTGAGTGCCTGACCAGGAAAAGGCAGGAACTCGTCTACCACCTGCATCAAATCTATAAGCAAAATCAAGGAATGATTCATCAATGCTCTGTTAAAGATGGCATCATAAAAGTGAGGAAAATTCCTACAAGGAAAACTTTTTTTAATATCAAATGAGAATAACCTCAATAAATTCCTCCCCCAATGTTTCTGTCTGAACCAGTTGACCCTATTAGTGCCTCATCATAAGAGTAACCCATTGTTACCTTTCCTCTCCAAACTATAATAATAATTTTTATTCACAAGAAGGTACAATGGGTTGGTGAGATAACGTAAGATTGGTATTTCTATGGAGAGCCCCATCAGGTTCCTGGAGCTTTACCAGGCTGATGGGGCTGACGTGTATATATTAGACCATGGCAACAGTCAATGGATGAAGTTATAGCCTACTGGGGACCACGAGCCAGAACCTGGCCCCCCTCAGAGAGGCACGAGGAGCAATGGTCAATAGACACCCCCATGTAGTTGGAAGCAGTCTATATCTGCCATCTACCAGGTCAGGCACCCAGAAAGGTAGCAATCTCAAAACAAACTACAGCTGGTTAAAAATTGCAAACCGAAAGCTGAATGAGCAAGCAGAACTCCCCAATCAGAAAACAAGAAAACAAGCATGTTGTTACCACAGTCACTGCACTGCTGCCTGCAGAGCTCCCCCTCCCTGGGAGGTGGAAGGGGGGGGGGGGCAGAAATCCTTCACCGGCTACCCAACCCCAGTTCTGAGGCTGATGTGTTGAGTGGCAGTCGGTCGACTCTGGCTCCATCCTTTCAGCAGTACTGTGCCTTACAGTGTTCTTCTGCTGTGTGGTGGTGTGCGACCCAGGTGTAATTCAAGAAATACTGTACTGAGGCAGCATGTGCCTAGGGTCAACCTTCTCTAGGTGCCCTGTAAGTACTGCCTTTGCAGTTTGGGGTTACCTTCCACAAACTGTTCAGGGGACTACCTCCGCAGGGTTCTTTTGCTGCTCGGTGATTGCCCGCCCTTGGGATCAGCTGGGGTTTTTTCCTATCACTGTTTGGCCTTGGGTAGGAGGTAGTATCATTGCTGACTGGGGCGCAAGGTACTGTGCAGCTGTCTTATAACACGCCTAGTGGCCGGTTCTGTTAATCCTGGAGACGTTGTGCCTTTGAGGGGTGTTTCTTTTCTTTTGTTTTATTTTGCCTGGTGGGGAATCTGCCTGGTGTGACCATAGATCCACTTGTATTATTTTTTCTCCACTAGGTCCACGTGATTAATTTAAATTAATTTAAGAATTTTAACAAGATCCAGATTAGTACAAAAGTAGATGGTAAATTCCTTGGTGTTCTCATTGGAAACAAGCTGAATTTCCAGTGCTACATACAAAATATAGTTAAAAAAAAATCTAAAACAGTTGGCATTCTTCCTAAAATCAGATATTTTGTACATTGTTCTGCCCTGGTAATGCTTTATTACTCTCTCATCTATCCTTAACTCACATGTGGTATCTGTGCCTGAGGTTTTACTGCCCAAAATTATCTATGACCTCTAATTACTCATCATAATCAGCAATTTGAACAATAACAAACTCAAGCCCAAGACAGCACTTGACTTTCAAAAGGAAACCTTTGAATATGTTAAGATATTAAGGGGCCCGGTGCATGTACATTGAAACTTCCTCAAACACTAAAAAATTTTTTGTGCATAATCTCTCGTATATCAGTCTAGGCTCCAGGGAGCCTCCAGGGCTCACCCAGAATATGGCGTTTCATTACATTAAATGATTTTTTTTCTTTTTAGTTTGGTATTAACTGTGTCATTTTGAATAAGATGGTTGGTATTGGAGAAAGTGAAGGTTGTTTCATCAGCAAATGGAATTGGCTTCAGGTGTTGTGTGGTATTTGGATGGTCATTCATCTAGATAAAGAGGAGAGAACCAAATATACTGCTCTGTGGAAAGCCAATGTTAATTGGTAAGGGGGAGGGAAGTAGCATTGTTTACAGAGACATACTGGAGCCTGTCCCTGAGATAAGATTGCAGGTGTTAAAGAGATAATCTATATTATCAGGAAATAATAATCAAAATATGTTTATGAAAAAAAGAAATCTAAAAGAATTTTTTACTTGCAGAACAAGATGGCCTATTGTAGAACAGAAATTGGGATATCAAATATGGTGATTCAATGCAGTAGCCTTGCATCTATCTTGGAGGACTGTTTGGGGCCTCGAGGGAGAGCTGTACTGATGGAAAAGGCAGGTTGCGTTGTTATTACACAAGATGGAGCTGAAATCCTGACATCATTAGATGTTTGTGACCCTGTTGTAAATATGGTAGTACATGGCATTTTAGATCAAACTAAAGTTTTAGGTGATGGTTGCAAAGTAAGTTTTTTATTGTTAAGACGTCTTTTACATTCACTTGATAGTCATGTTGCAACATCATCTTGTGTATCTCTAGCTATAAGAAGACAAAGGATGGTACAAATTACCCAGCACCTAAGAAAGTATGTTAAAAGTACTATAATAAAAGATGTGATAAGATATGGTACTCGAGTGTACCCCCTCCATAGTTTTGAAGCCTTTGGGAAGGTACTGCAGAGTGCCTCTGAAAGTTTTTTTCAAACAAAGTTTTCTAAACTTGTAGCTAGAAATCTTTCCCAGTTGTTGTCAACATATTTGTTTTGTAATTGCAGTAACAGTGAAGAGCTTATAAAGCTACTAAATGACTTAGCAACAAATGTCCATATTGCTATTGTTCAAGTGTACAAAATGCCATTATCAAAGTCCCGTGTGATATCCGGTTTTGTACTAACGAGAAATTTCAAGTACTTGCACGAGGGTATGAAATTTGACAATGTTTCTTCTGTTTTATGGTCAATAGATCTAGAAGAAAGAAAAGATAATGAAATTTGCAAGCCCATTATTGAAACTGGCCAAGACCAAACATTAATTGAGAGCATTTTTATAAAAAATAGACTTCTTGATTTTTGCCTAGCATCTTTAAAGTCACTTGGTGTTCATATTATTTTCTCCTCAACCTTTTTTCCAGACTGGGCTGCATCACAGTGCAGTAAATATGGTTTCTCATTAATAGATATGATTGAAGATGAAGAGTGGAATTTTTTAATTAAGAAATTACAAATTACACCAATAATTAATAAAGGAGATATTAATTTGAGGTCAGTTCAAACTTTAGTCAAAATTGAACCTGTGGTGATAGGTACTTGTAAATTTGTAAGACTACATGGACTTGATGTTCACCAGATTCTGTTGTGTGGTCCAACTCCCACACAGTGTAAACAGTTCTCCACAGCCTACTGTAAGCTCTTCATGTATCTTAACTCTTGGGTGACAGACTGTTTACATTTTGGCCAGATTGCTGAGAAAACAGGTAATGAAGGTGTTGAGAACATGAATAATATAGCCTGTGATTTTGACTCTTGTTTGAGTGCATCGTCTGTGAGCCCTAGCGAGGTGCTTAGCCATGTACACTGTAAAGACACTATTGAAAGGAATATTTGTACAAATATAGAATCGATTATCCATCCACAAAGTCCATCACCTGTGTTATACTCGGTACCACATGGTGGCTATGTAGAACTATTGGCTAAATATCTAGTACAGGAAAATGTCTCTGGAAGCATTGGTAATATTTATAGACTAATAATTTCTGAAGTTTTAGATGAAATACCATGGTTGCTGTACAAAAAGTTAAAACGTTCTCCAAAGAGTTACACAGATTTTCAAACTAGATTATATAACCATTTTAAAGGCTTAAGAACTAATACCAGTAATGAAAAAGCTTCTTTGTCTAGCACCTTGGAAGCAAATGAATTTTTAGGATATCAAAATCCTTTTGCCTTCTTCAGAATTTTAGATTGTGTATTTCATTTTACTGAGTATATTTTAAGAATTGAATGTTCAATTCCATCCAAAAGAAGAATTCTGAAATTTATTAAAAAAAGTGAGAGAGAAGACAGCGATGATGAATGACATTTGTCCATATGGGGGTGTCATCTTCCACTTACAACAACACAAGCTGCACACAGAAACTGTGTATTTTCACTGCCTTGACCTGATTGTTGCCTCTTTACTGTAAAGCTGAAAAAAATGCTTCTGAGTTTTTACATTTGTGTTTTATTTCCCATGGTTACCACCTAGTCATAACAGGGGTGTTTGTTCTGTCAACCTGTAGAGCAGCTGAGTGTGACTTAGGAAGTCCCTTTTCTTGTCAACATGTAAGGATCGGGCAGAGTGTACCCTTGGCACCCAAAATTAGAATCTCACAGATGTTAAGACAGATTACTGCATTTTACTTTAATGCAATATTTGGTCCACAAATGTGGACAAAGTCCTTCAACATAGATTTGCAAGCGCATGTATAGAATCCTATTAGAGGGAATCATTGACCATCTTTCGGTGAACAATCTTGTAAAATCGACACAACATGGGTTTGTTAAAAATAGATCCTGCCTTACAAACCTGCTCACATTTTTGGAAATGGTAAACCAGCTACTCAGAAAAAGGACTTCCGGTTGATGTAGTATACATGGATTTTGCAAATGCCTTTGATAAGGTACCGCAAGAAAGACTGGCAAAGAAATTACAAGCACATGGAATAAATAGAATACTACTACAATGGATACAACAATGGTTAAAACAAAGAAAACAAAGAGTGGTGCTAAATGGTAATGAATCTGATTGGAGAAATGTGATAAGTGGGGTGCCTAAGGGTCCATTTTGGGACCTACCCTTTTTGTCATGTACATCAATGACAGATGAGAGTATTACAAACCACATCATCATATTTGCAAATGGACTCAAAGATTTATGGTAAAGTGGGAAATGATAATGATATTGAAGCCTTAAAAAGAGTAATACATGAACTCCACAAATGAGCAGATAACTGGCAAATACTTTTTGATATCAACAAATGCAAGACCATGCATGTGGGGCATAACGGCCCAAACCACAAATACCAAATTAATAGCATTGCATTACAGCAGATTGATGAAGAAAAGGACATTGGAGTCAAAATCCACCACTCATTAAAAGGTGCACAACAGATGGGTGCAGCAGTCAGAAAGGCTAACCAAACTCTTAGGATAATCAAGCGTACTTCTGACTATAAGGAAAAGAAGGTAATGGTTCAACTATAAATATCTGGTGTGCCCCCATTTGGATTACTGTATCCAAGCATGGAGATCTCATTTTCAGAAGGACATAGCTGCTCTGTAGAAGGTGCAACACCAGGCATCAAAAGTCACTTCAGAGCTAAGTCATCTCTTGTATCAGGAGTGCTTGAAGGCCACATGGCTGTCAACACTGCAGACCAAGCATGACAAGGCAAATCTAATTGAAACTTCTAACATATTGAACAAGTTAGAGGATGTTGATCCAGATATTTTCTTCAGAAGGTCAGATGTAATACAAGGAGCAACGGTTTTAAGTTCAGCAAGCCACACTGTAGGACTGAGATCAGGAGATGCTTTGTCACCCATAGGGTTAACCCATGGAAGCTGATGAAGCCATAACTGCCAAAACTGTGTTGAGTTTTAAAATATACCTAGAAAAGATCAAGGCAAATGGGGGACAGGGGGACCTTTGACAATCTGCCAGCTTCTTGTCCTCGTCGAGGCCATTAGAGTTAGTGGCCCTCAGGTAAATCAGGTATGTTATGTTTATATTTCTAAATTCATTCTTTTCACCTCCTTGAGACATTTGTGCTTACCTTTCTAGTGTGAACACTTGTCAAATATTCATTTAGAGTGTTTGCTGCCTTTTTGTCGTCCATTATAGTTTGGTTAGTTTCATCTTTTAAAGGTCCTACAGAGTCCTTAGTTTTGGTTTTACTTATTTAGGCATGGAACGACTTTGGATCTTTCTTTATGTTTTGGGCAAGTTTTCTTTTGGAGCTCATTGTGGCTGATCTGATTGCCTAGGTGGCTGAGTTTAGTGCCATTGTTGTTGTTTTAGAATCAACTACACGGAACAAAACTTTAAAGTAGCACGGGCTGTGGTGAGTCCGTAGTGGACTTGTTTAGTGCCCTTTTATATACTGGATATCTCATAATGAATGATGTCTATCGTGGATTTGTACGTTCTCCAGAGGTTCCTCTTAGTTCTCAATGCATGTTTTTGCTGTTTGCATGTGAAGTTGCTGTTTAGTCAGACTTGATTTGTTTTTGTATTGAGGCAGGTATTTTCTCCCCAGATTCCATGTATGACTAACCATCCTGTGAGATGGGAATATTAGATGAACTTGTAGTTAGTTTTTGATCTACACTGTGTAATCTTTCATATAGAATAGGGTAGCAGCACATTGCTGTGTATACCTAAGCTACTTAATAAATAAAAATCCATCTAGTTCCCTTTCGTTTCTTCCTCCTTTTTTTGCACATTTTTGAACGAGTTGCGTGATGACCTTAAAGTTTTGCCATGATGCCTCCATGTCATGTTCACTTATTAACTCCCTCCAGGAGATATTTTGCAGTTCCTCTCGCATTCCTTGGTAGTTACCTCGATTGTGATCCAGAAATTCATCATCATGAACCATTATTTGGGTTTCTGTATTTGTAGTTCTTAAAATATGGTGATCACATGAGAAGGTTAGCTTTTCCCCTTCCGGAATTTGATCAGTCATACACTCTTCTGAGACTAGCACAAGATCTAGTATGCTGTTAGCCTGTGTGGGCTCTACCACTTGCTGTATGAGAAAGGAGTCCTGAACCAGATCTAGAAATGGTTCTCCCTCTGCTTGTGATGTTAGATTTACCCAATCTATGGTCTCATGGTTAAAATCCCCCATTATTAGGGTTTGGGTTTCTAATGCCACTTTGATCACATCATGCAGATTGCAACATCCTCTGCCGCTGCTGTGTCAGCCCTTTATCATACTCCCACAGTCAGTTTGCTACCATCTTGAGTTCGTATGTTGCACCATACCGACTCTGAGGATCCCATGGTGTGTGTTTGGTTCCTCATTAATGGTTGCATAAAGATCCTCTTTCACATATAACATTACCCCGCTTGAACAAATCCACAAGGGCCGTGACGAGGATTCGAACCTGCGTCCGAGAGCATCCCAGACACTGCCTTAATCGACTGAGCTACAACAGGGTTAAAAGGGTTGAAACCGAAGTTCTACTGAACTTAGTGGATCATTTGATGCATCACATTAGTGTGATCTGTGTGTGTAATTACCCCACTTGCTCGTGTTGTCCTATTTGAAAGGTGGGTGGTATCCTTTCCTTCTATTATGTAATGTTGTTATGTTTTGGCGCTTTCTCCTGATAATTCCCTTCCCTTACAGAAATGATGGCTCTGCCAGCGGACAGCCGTGAGCCTCTGGCCCCTCCTCCCCTAAACTAGTGGGAGGGGATGAGACAAACGATCATGCATGCTTGTTTCCAGAGATGATTCGATCGTTTGTTTACATTGTCAAATGTAAGTGTTACATTGCAAAATTTCATGACATTACATTTGTTCTACATTTACAAATGTTTGTTTACATTTTGAGATTTTGAGGCTTCACCCTCTTTTCAACCCAGCAGTGGACATCTTCAAGAGAAAACTAGTTCATTTTCTCCAAGGAGTGCCGGACCAACCGGGCTGCGGTGGGACTGGGCATGTGGGCCTGCGGGCCGCTGCAAGCAACAGCCTAGTGGAACAAAGTTATAAGTCAAGCCTGGCCCCTGGCCGGGCTTGGGGAGTAGAAGAAATCCCAGAACCCCATCAAGCAGTGGTCTGTATTGGTCAGCCCATCCTTATAAACAAAAGCCAAATATTCGGTAATCCAGCCAGTTTATGAATGAAAAACGTTTACATATGTTGACCAGACCACACACTAGAAGGTGAAGGGACGACGACGTTTTGGTCCGTCCTGGACCATTCTCAAGTCGATTGTGATAAAGGAAGATTGATTGTTGAAGATTAAGCCACCCAAAAGGTGGCACGGGCACGAATAGCCCGTAAGTGGTGGCCCCATTTGAGCCATTACCAGTATCAATAGATGATTCTGGAGATAGATGATCAATAGGTGATACTGGAGATCTGTGGAGGTGCGGCTGCACCCTGCGTGACGGGAGATGTCTCCCGTGTGATGAAGGAAGGAGATGAAGGCATTAAATAGGCAAGAGAGAGGCGAGGAACAAGGCCAAAGTTACGAAAGGTAAGGTGTAGTAGTGGGAATAAGAACTGCAGAAGGCCTATTTAAATCCCGCAGACCACTATTAAAAACTTCTTATCTTCAACAGTCATTTTTGTTAAAGTAGTTACTTGCTTTTGCATATTTTCACGCATTCTTTGAAAATATATTCAAGTGGTTTTCCTAGCTAAAACTGGGTGTTTTGATTGCAAGTGTTTTCGAGTTTGAAAGGTTTCACGGGATCATTGGTTAAACTCAGAACACAACACAAAGCGGCTGTGGATGCTACTCACTACCAGGTTTTTGAATAAATCCAAATTTCAAGTAGTTCGAATCATTTTCTTGATATTTTTAAGTTTTTTCTTCTCTCTGCCTCCAGTTGGAATGTTCTTCCTTATGGTGCCTGACAAGAACTGTGGTCGAGGCTCTGAATCATTGATCAGCTCACGGTTAAGTGAAGTACACATATTACTATTGTTACTAAATAATGATAACGTCTTCTCACGGACAAAATAACATAGGATGAAAACCCACACTTGTGTATTTGTGAAAGTTATGTTAGGAATTTACACCAAGTCTTTCGCACTCTCCTGAGTGCTTTGTCAAGGTCTGAGTGTGTGATTAGAACAATTTATTTCTTTATTATGCACCCCATACCCATCCCGTGGGCGGTGGTGTAAAGGATTACAGAGGCACATAATCGGTTCAGGAACTGAACCCTCTAGTTCGTTTAGCTAAGCAAATAACAATTTTTGACGCTAGTTACAATATTATTAATGTTATATATACATGTACACACACTCATACATACATGTACATATATATGTATGTAATTAGAACGAGACTAACATCTCGACGCCTAATCAACTTCAGTCCTTGACAGAGCACTTAGGAGGCTACGAAAGACTTGGTGTCAATTCCTCACATAACTTTCACAAGTACACAAGTGTGGTTTTTTATACTATTATTAATATTATCATTAGTTACATTATCATTTGTAGTATTTAGTACTAATCACATTAATACCAGTGTCAAGTATGCTAGATTACATACAGTTACTTGCAATACACAAATAAAATTAAACATTCAGAATAACTATTTCTTAGAATATTATTTTTGTGATATTATTAATAAAACATAAAAAAATACAAATAATGTCCAGATTTGTCTGCGGACCACCAAAATCTAACGGTCGGCGACCACTGCCATACACAACTCTCTCAACTGATTCTTTTTAACAAGCTTAAGTATACACAGCAATGTGCTGCTACCCTATTCTATAATATAGATTAACAGTGTAAATCAAAAACTAGCTATAAGTTCACCTAATATCGTAGTCTCACAGGATGGTTAGTCATACATCGAATCAGGAGAAAACATGAAATGTGAGGCTGATCTATAAGTAATTGGGTTGGGTATTAATATTAATTTATTTATTTATTTATTTATTTATTTATTTATTTATTTATTTATTTATTTATTTATTTATGTATATACAAGAAGGTACACTGGGGGTTAAGAGAGAACATAGAGTTTAAGTTGAAAATTACAATCTTATAAAGCCACTAGCACGCATAGCGTTTCGGCCAAGTCCTTAAACTAACCTTAGAGCAAATCCTTAAACTAACAAAGTTTTAGAGAAATAAGAGTAAAATGGATAAAAAGTGCTCAACAGGCACTTTATAGCTTTACTTTACAAGTACAGGAGATTTCAAGTAATAGTAATATAGTATAGTAAGTAGTAATAGTAAAGCAATAGTTGGGGTTTAAAATACAAATGGAAAAGATCATTAAGGTAAATGAGAGGGGGGGCTTTGACAAGCCGCCGGCTGCCCAGTAAGCTCTGAAAGGTTAGGGGGTAGAGCCTGGCGCCAAGTTAGTGTGTGTCGAGAGGTGGCAAGGAGAGGATCGATGCTCCGTTCCCGCCACCAAACATCGCACCCAAACTGTATCGGTCTTGTGGTTAATTTGGTGAAAGTGTTAAAGGTTTACATTAAAGAAGTACAGTTGATGGATGCCTGCTACTGTGTTTGGATTCTTTGAACAAAAATACTGAATTTGTGTTTAAAACAAGTGAACATGTTAAGACTGATAAGGACGAAGCATTGTAAGACAAATGAAATATACAAAAATCACTTAAATGTAATTATTAAAAGAAATATAGACGTCTGAAGCAAAAATGAAAATTGCGTTAATGTAGAAACAATACGCAAAATCAAATCATTTCAACCATAAGGATTTACGGTGGAAATAAAATCTGCATTTAAACAACAATACCAATTAAACAAAAATGGTGCTGCAAGGTTTTATTATTTCAGTAATAAAATGAATTAAAATTTTGCAAGTTGAAAAATATTAGTTTAAAGGGAAATCTTGAACGTTTACCCTCACAATGCGCCTGGGAACTCCCCATTAACATAACTAATAAAGTGATATATGATAAATTATTAGGATTGAAATATACAAAATTAAGAACGAATGGAAGGAAAAGTGTGTGCAAGTTACCATTAAATGCCAATTAACAAACTGCATATCTCAAGTAACACCGTGAATGAGCTAGGTAAGTGATCTCCAGAGAGAATATATCACTGAAATGAAAATACACACTGAAAAGAAATACATGCCTTTGAGATGTATTTCTTTCTTGTCTAAATAAACATACTTGAACTTGATATCACACTGTATGTTAATGTTCTACAGAGGTTCGTGGAACAGCAGGGGTAAAGTTATCGACTATATAGGCTAAGTTATCATAATAGTAGGCATCCATCAGTCTCGGGAGACTATGGAGTTGGGCTCTGGTTGTCGGTCTGGAGTGGCCTCTCCAGGGCTCAAATACAGGGTGGGTTGATACGGGGGAGAAGCTGTTACCCATGCAGTTATCATATTAAATGGTAAATTGTCAAACATCAATGTTTAATTGTCGTAATACAGAATATTGTACTTTACAGGGGTGGTTATGCTTTTGTGGTTAATGAAAGTCATTATAGCGTATAACGAGCCAGATATGAGGACAGGTTGCCGTCATCCAAGCAGGTCTCGCCAATAAAAGCCTAAAGTGATACCTTGCACCTACCAAACCCCTTGTTTATAAATGAAAAACACTTTACACGCGACTCACAACTGATGACTTTCAAACATTTATTGAACACTGCTTCGGTAATGACCTTTGTTGAAATCGCAGATCTGAAATGCTTTACCCACATACAACAAATACCAATCTGTCATCAACAACAATGACCAAATACTCGTTAATCTAGCCGCCAAACCCCCCCTTTTTAATAATGAAAAACGGTTTACACGACTCACAATTAATGACGTCAGGCGTTTCTAGATGTTTCCAGGGTTGTAAGCTTCGCTTGAATCCTCTGCTCAAATCACAACTAGGCAAATGCTTCACCTATATATACTTCAAATACGAATAATTGTCAAGAGAATCCAAACGCCTAATCCAACTTACGCCTAACTATAAATACAATTTTAATGAATTATATCATTAATATATTTATTTATTATTTATTACATATATAATAATATACAGTACATATACAATACATAATATATATATATATATATATATATATATATATATATATATATATATATATATATATATATATATATATATATATATATATATATATATGAGAACAAGCCTGTTATTAATACAGTATTTGCAGTCTCCGTGGTGTAGTGGTATGACACTCGCCTGGCGTTCCGCGAGCGCTATGTCATGGGTTCGTATCCTGGCCGGGGAGGATTTACTGGGCGCAATTCCTTAACTGTAGCCTCTGTTTAACGCAACAGTAAAATGTGTACTTGGATGAAAAAACGATTCTTCGCGGCAGGGGATCGTATTCCAGGGACCATAGGATTAAGGACTTGCCCGAAACGCTACGCGTACTAGTGGCTGTACAAGAATGTAACAACTCTTGTATATATCTCAAAAAAAAAAAAAAAAAAATACTATATCATGTACTTCGAATATAAACAATCGCCAACAGAACCTAAACATCTATGCGTAACTATACCTAGAACTTTAATATATAATAATATTAATTTATATGTGAGATCAAGCCTATTTTTAATTCACAGGACGTTAAAATTGATGAATGTGTCCTGAGGACGTCCGCCGTTTTAACGAGCCTGGCCTGAGGACAGGTTGACATATACTTGAGTGTTGCTGAGAGCCGCTAACACTAGTGGCCTCGACGAGGACAGGAAGCCAGCGGCTTGTCGAAGGTCTCCCCATTTGCCTTGAGGAATTTTCCAGCTATACTCTAAAGGTTAACAGAGTTTTGGCATTTACGGCTTCGGCGGGTAGGCGGTTCCATGATTCAATAACCCTGTCGGTACAAATAAGATCCAACAGATCCTAACATCTAACCTATGCCTAAATATGATATGCACAATATGCTAATATATAATAAAATTGTTTTATATTTGAGAAAATTCCTATTTTGAATGAAGTACATGTTAAAAATGCTGAATGCATCTTTGGGGTGAGCCAGTGAATGGAATCATAGTGATACATAGTGATCAATCATAATGAGTGAACGGGATACATAGTGATACATAGTGATCAATCATAGTGAGAACGGGATACATAGTGATCATAGTGATCAATCACAATGAGTGAACGGGATACATAGTGATACATAGTGATCAATCATAGTGAGAGAACGGGATGCCAGCTTACTGGAAATACAAATCCTAGCTAACACAGCTTAAACATCTATCCTAACCTAACGTAGCCTGACTGTACATGGACCTCTAATATAGAATAATGTTAATGTTTACATGACAAGAACTTTCTTTTAATACTCGGTACGTTATAATTGATGAATGCATCTTAGGGGTTGGTCGCTACAGCAGGTTGTCGACACAGGTGGACGGGGGCAGGGAAACAGAGCAGGGTGACGGGGAAGGGTGACAGAGCATGGTGACGGGGAAGGGTGACAGAGCAAGGTGACGAGGCAGGGTGACAGCAGGGTGATGTCGCAGGGTGACTGGGCAGGGTGACGGGGCAGGGTGACTGGGAAGGGTGACAGAGCAAGGTGACGGGGCTGAGAGGTGTGAGGTGGAGCAACACTGAGAGGACCACCATAAATAAGTGAAACTTCACCTGGCTCGCCTCACACGGGAGTTTAAAGTGGCGCGAGCTACGCTGGCCTCTCTCACACACCTGTGTTCCCGCTCACACACCTGTGTTCCCTCTCACACACCTGTGTTCCCGCCTCACACACCTGTGTTCCCTCTCACACCCCTGTGTTCTCCTTGACACACCTGTGTTCCCTCTCACACCTGTGTTCCCCCTCACACACCTGTGTTCCCTCACACACACCTGTGTTCCCTCTCACACACCTGTGTTCCCTCACACATCTGTTCTCTCTCACATCTGTGTTCTCTCACACCTGTGTTTCTTCACACACCTGTGTTCCTTCTCACACACCTGTGTTCCCCTTGACACACCTGTGTTCCCTCTCACACACCTGTGTTCCCTCCTCACACACCTGTGTTCCCTCACACACCTGTGATACCTCACACACCTGTGATACCTCACACCTGTGTTCCTTCACACACCTGTGTTCCCTCACGCATCTGTTCTCTCACATCTGTTTTCCCTCACACACCTGTGTTCCCTCTCACACCTGTGTTCCCTCACACACCTGTGTTCTCACACACCTGTGTTCTTACACACCTGTGTCCCCTCACATCTGTATCTCATCACCCTTGTTAAAAATTATCAATGGTTATTCATTCCATATTTGCTTCAGGCGTTCCTAACCTCCCGACATTTGATATAATTAATTCCTCCTCTTGGAATATCTGTTTGATATTCCAAGAGTGCGACTTAACCAAAGTAGAAATGCTCTGCAAATCAACTGTCCCAAACTGTATAATGATCTTACCAATCACGTCAAAGACTGGCTCTCCAGTTTAACCAGTTTAAGCCAGTTTAAATTCTTAAGCCAGTTCTTAAGTTTTTTAAGCCAGTTCTTAAATCAATTTAAGAAAAAATTAAGTACTACCTAATCAACTCCATGTAACCTACCTTACGTCCTAAATGTCAACCTATACCTTGCTATTATCAGACATGATTGATTAACTTGTAAAACTGCTAATATCTGCCATGTATAATCTTAAAGAAAATTGTATTCCAGCTGCTTATTTAGTTAAAATTTCTATTTGCTGTTCTGTTGCAATTTCTGCTGTTCCATTCAACATGTAATTATTATCATTCTTTTTTCTACTTCAGTTCAATTCTTGATTTTGATCTCAATTAGTTTTAATTCTTAGTTTTTAAATTTCTTTTTCCACACCTCTCCCGAATCACTGTGCATATTAATGGCTTTAGACGTAATATATATTTGCTCTATCTAGAAATCCAACATTCTGTTTGTAACTCATTTTGTATGTACTTTCCCCAAATAAAATTATCATTAGCATTACCTTGTGGAACTCCGCTTGTGACTTCTTGCCATTCTCAGATCTCCCTCTTACAAGCAAACTTCTTGTTTTCTGTTGCTTAGATACTCCCTTATCCACCGGAGCTCCTTACCTGTTACTCGTGCCTGTTTCTCCATCTTAAGCACTAGTCTCTGATGAGGACACTGTGTCAAAGGCTTTCTGACAGTCCAATAAATTGCAATTTGACCACCCTTTTCTTTCTTGCCTAATTTTTGTCGATTTGATGTTGAATTTTATTAAACCGGCGAGGCACAATTTACCTTCCCTGAACCTATGTTGTGTGGTGTGTTACAAGTCTTCTCTTTCCACGAGTGCTACAAGCTTTTTCCTCACGAAATTCTCCATCACCTTATATAGTATATTTGTTAGGGATACTGGCATGTAGTCCGGTGCTTCCTGCTTGTCACCTTTTTTTTGTATATTGGGACTACATTAGTTGTCTTCCAATTTTCTGGTAGGTCTCCTGCTTCCAATGACCTATTATACACCATAAAGTCGCATGCATAGTGAATAAATAATAATAACATAACATTTTATTTAGGAAAAGTACATGCATAGATGCAGAGTTACAAACATACTGTTGGATTTATACATAGAGCTAGTATATACGATACTTAAAGCCACTAATATGCATTGCGTTTTGGGCAAGTGGAAGTAAGTTTCGGGCAGTGGGGTGCTTTTGCACCCACTATTAGTATCCATGGTGACATTCTGTCAGGCCCAACAGCCTTTATCTTGTCCAGTTGTATCACTAGGGTCTTGACCTCATCTCTGTTAATTTAAAATTCTTCGAAGCTTGCTTGGTTTGTAGCAACTTTTCCTAATTGAGGGACTGCTCCTTGCTCTTTTGTGAAGACCTCCTGGAATTTCTTGTTCAATTCTTCATACATCTCCTTGTCATTCTTTGTGTACCGTCACTTGATCTTTCACTGTTGTTTTCCTCCTGATGTGGCTGTGGAGCAGGTTTGATTGGGTTGAGGCTTTACTTGCTATACTATTTTCATAGTCTCTGCTTCTCTTCTCATACTGAAGTACTCATTCCTGGCCCTCTGGCATCTCTCCCTACTCTCTGGTGTTTTGTTATTCCTGTAGCTTCTCCATGTCTTAGTACCTAATTGACTAGCTTCCTTACATGTCTGATTGAACCATGGATCCCGATTTTGCATTTAATTTATCTCATTTTTGGGCCGGGATAAACTTGTCTGCTGCCACCTGATACTTCTAGGGGATATAGTGTAATATATCTGGTATTCTTTTCCCTGAGCTCTGCTCTCCAAGGTATTTTAATCTAGAATTTTTTCATCTCATCATAGTTTTCCCTTCGCTATGCCAGCCCTTTGCTTTATGGTCCCTTCATTGAATAGGATATTCCTCCCATAGGTATAAATAAATAATTAAATGTTTATTCAGGTAAAGTACATACATACAAGAGGTTATATACAAATTGATAGATTTATAGATAAGAGCTAGTACATATAATGCCTAAAGCCACTATTACGCAAAGCGTTTCGGGCAGTAAGGTGAGATATAGGTGAGAGTGGGAGGACAGAGCCTAGTTGATGGTGGACGGACATAGTCCAGGTGATAGTGAAAGGATGAAACCGAGCTTGAAATGGGAGAAGAGAGCCCATGGAGGGTTGGGAGGGGTGGGCAGGACTGGCCACCTTTAAGCTGGTACACTGAAAGGCCACCATTGGCTCCCCCCATTGGGCTTGAAAACAATTTTTACATTAATTGCTCATTGATCGCAGGTCTTTGTTACAACACAATTCATTTTATGGTCTTTTGAATTATACATTATTGTTTTCAATTTATTTGTTGAATACGTGATGTTGGTCAAAAAAAAACTTTGGGGTGACAAGAAAAGTGTTTGAATTGTTACAGTCTGTCAACCAGCAATTATTGGAGTGTTACAGTCAGTCAACCAGCAAATATATGATTGTTACAGCCAGTCAACCAACAGATATTGGATTGCTACAGCCAGTCAACCAGCAGATATATGATTGTCACAGTCAACCAGCAGATATATGATTGTCACAGTCAACCAGCAGATATATGATTGTCACAGTCAACCAGCAGATATATGATTGTCACAGTCAACCAGCAGATATATGATTGTCACAGTCAACCAGCAAATATATGATTGTCACAGTCAACCAGCAGATATATGATTGTCACAGTCAACCAGCAGATATATGATTGTCACAGTCAACCAGCAGATATATGATTGTCACAGTCAACCAGCAGATATATGATTGTCACAGTCAACCAGCAGATATATGATTGTCACAGTCAACCAGCAGATATATGATTGTCACAGTCAACCAGCAGATATATGATTGTCACAGTCAACCAGCAAATATATGATTGTCACAGTCAACCAGCAGATATATGATTGTCACAGTCAACCAGCAGATATATGATTGTCACAGTCAACCAGCAGATATATGATTGTCACAGTCAACCAGCAGATATATGATTGTCACAGTCAACCAGCAGATATATGATTGTCACAGTCAACCAGCAGATATATGATTGTCACAGTCAACCAGCAGATATATGATTGTCACAGTCAACCAGCAGATATATGATTGTCACAGTCAACCAGCAGATATATGATTGTCACAGTCAACCAGCAGATATATGATTGTCACAGTCAACCAGCAGATATATGATTGTCACAGTCAACCAGCAGATATATGATTGTCACAGTCAACCAGCAGATATATGATTGTCACAGTCAACCAGCAGATATATGATTGTCACAGTCAACCAGCAGATATATGATTGTCACAGTCAACCAGCAGATATATGATTGTCACAGTCAACCAGCAGATATATGATTGTCACAGTCAACCAGCAGATATATGATTGTCACAGTCAACCAGCAGATATATGATTGTCACAGTCAACCAGCAGATATATGATTGTCACAGTCAACCAGCAAATATATGATTGTCTCAGTCAACCAGCAGATATCAGATTGCCGTTATTAAAGGTAGAGGAGGAATGAAGAGTTGTAACAACTCATTGACCACTCACGGCTAAAGTGTCATTGACAGGCATTTTGAATCCGTTTATCGTCCAGCGTTATATAAGCCGGGTGTTTGGAGTGATTGTGTGCCCAGAATAGTACCAGAATCTCTTGACGTAGAATGCTAAAGGTGTTCAAGTTTCTGTTATGTTATGATTAGTTTATATAAGTTCTGCTTCTATTTGTCTCATCATCCTAATTTTTGTATATAAATTGTGTGTCGTTATCATGTATCATCTTTCAAAGTGTTATTTAAATGTTAATTTATGGCTAAAGTGTAATTTTTTATTTAGCTATGTATACACCTCTTTAGTCCAGCTAGTATTGAAATTATTATTTTTTAAGGTTTTAACAAATAATAATGTGATTCTGATAATGGCAATGCAGGCCGTCCTCACATAATTATCATCCAATGCAGCCCGTCCAATCCATTACCATCCAATGCAGCCCGTCCAATCCATTACCATCCAATGCAGCCCGTCCAATCCATTACCATCCAATGCAGCCCGTCCAATCCATTACCATCCAATGCAGCCCGTCCAATCCATTACCATCCAATGCAGGCCGTCCAATCCATTACAATGAGAAACCACACCTCCGCCATCTCCACCTGTCATCTCTCGTGCCTGACCACATCATCTCGGACTCCTTCATTATGGCGTGTGATGACATCATTTCCACCTCCCTCACCACTGGCATTTCATGACATCATTTTAAACTCCATCATCCCTAGCGTCTTATTACATCATCTTAAACTCCATCATCCCTGGCATATGATGACATCATCTCATCCTTGGGGACTACTGACATTATTTGCACCTCCTTCGTACTTGACGTCTAATGATATTATCTTCAACTCCATCCCTGGTTTCTGATGGCATCATTTCTAAGTCTATTATCCCTAGCGTCTAATGATATTATCTCCACCTCCAGCCCTGGCGTCTGAGGACATAATCTCCATCATTTATGGCATTTAATAATAGCAATATTAGCAATATTTAATCTATTGTCAGATTAAAGTTTATTCAACCTTGCCTACTCAAAGCACTAACTTAATGACGAATAAAACATAGGTATAATTTAAAAATGTAACTTTTGATCAGTTATCCTTATTGTCTGACGATAGCATCTCCTCCGCCAGAGTGACCAGCATGAAGAAAGAGGACTCGCCTCTGTCCCCGACCTCGTCCTCGTCGTCCTCGCCGTCGTCCTCGTCGTCCTCGACCCTGACCACCATGTTGGCGCGCAATTGGGCAGGCACCCGGCGAACTCCTCTTCCACCCAGTGACTCTCAGGACCTGGAGGACGACTTAACATTTACAGAAAGTGGAGCAGCAGCAGCAGCGGGTTCTGGTCAAGATGATGAGGACTCTCTGGTAAGATGGCTGAGTGGAGGAAGAGAGATAAGGGGAAGATTAAAACAAGACAAAGATGTGAAAAGCAATACCCTCAAGTGCCAGCAGAAGCTGGCCCTTGAGGATGTTGGGTCGCCCTCCACTGAAACTGTTGCACCGTTAGGTTAGGTTAACCTCCGTCACAAGCCAGGGCTATTAAGCAATAATAATAATAATCATATTAGGATAAGCAGGCGATGAGTCACAATAACGTGGCTAAAGTAATTTGACCAGACCACACACTAGTAGGTGAAGGGACGACGACGTTTCGGTCCGTCCTGGACCATTCTCAAGTCGATTGTCTTGAGACTTGAGAATGATTGACACAATCGACTTGAGGATTTAGGATAAAATCCCACACACACTTGTGTATTTGTGAAATTTATGTAAGGTATTTACACCAAGTCTTTCGCACTCTCCTGAGTGCTTCGTCAAGGTCTGAGTGTGTGGGTGAGGACCAGACTTACATCTCAACGTCTGAGCCTCTTTGTGTAAATTCCTTACATAAATTTCCCAAATGCACACGTGTGGGTTTATATCCTATGTTATTATGTCTGTGTGAAGACGTCACCACTTAATCATAGTATTAATGCAATCTTTATTATTATTATGATTGTAATGACAACAGTAATAATTATATTAAATAACAGTACTAATGGAAGTTATAATAAGGAAGGCTACAGTTTATTCAAGGATCTGCCTGATGGAGGAAGGGGGGAGGGGGCGTCCTTTATATTATACTTCTCCGAAACTAACATGTGCCTCTTCATCTGACGCGCAAACCTCAACTGTTCTTCTACACTAACGTCTATTACCCCGACACTAACATCTACCTTTTCTCAAACATCTGACTATTCTCCCGACACTTTAACTGATCTCCAGACACTTACGTCTAACTGCTTCCCCCCGACACTAACATGTGACTGTTCCCTACAGCCGAGGTCTCCATCGTCAGCTCGGTCTGACCGTCGGATGGTGCGGACTCCGGCCTGCGACCTGGAGACCGTGGAAGACCGTGGTGTGTCACATGTGGAGCTGCAGCGGCACTCCAGCGGCAGGAAGGGCAGGGTGGAGGCTCAGGAGTCAGGGAGATGGCGGGCTAAGGAGAATCTTCCCCGCTTCACCCTCACCCTTCCCACTCACCACCCTGATCACGACACCCCTGACCCAGTACACACTTCAGACCAGTGCCCCACTCCCGACGATTGCCACACTCCCAAGGGCTCCCGTACTCCCACAGGCTGCTTGAGTCCCATGGGGAGTCAGAGTCCTGATGGATGTCTGAGCCCCAATGGGTCTCAGAGTCCAAATGGGTGCCAGATTCCCAGTAGGTGCCAAAGTCCTACCGGATACCAGAGTCCCAACAGGTGCCAGAGTCCCATGGGTTACCAAGAACCCAAAGGGTGCCAGGGTCTTCAATATGAAGTGGGACCCTATGACCCTCACCCTAGGGCCTTTAGGGACGAGGCTCTGAGCGAGAGTCCGAGCCTTCTGAGCCCTCACCACGCCATGACCCGCTGGTCGTCATATGGCTCCCCCCTCCACCTGGACCCCTGGGACCCCCGGTACCCGCCGTCACCCGGTAAGTGGGACACCCTATCCCTCCATCTGGTCCCCTCTGGGACCCCTCGGTATGTTGGACACCCTCCCCTCTCTACTTGGACTCTTGGGACTTCCGGTACTCGCCTTCACCCAGTAAGGGGTTCACCCTTCTTCTCCACCTAGACCCCGGTACCCGCCGTCTTCCAGTAAAGGGTTCACCTTTCCATCACCTGGAATCTCCGGTACCCGACGTCACCCGGTAAATGGTTCACCCGGTCTGAAATTTCCGACGATACTTACTTTTAATACAATATGTATTAAATACAACTTTTAATACAATATGCGTTAATTAATACTGCTGTTTTGTATTAATACCAATACATTCTTTTGTATTAAAACAAATTATTATTGGACTTTGCCGATAGGACACTGATTTTGTGTGGTACCTTGCAGTACTGTACTGTGGTGGGATTGTTATCTACCAATCCCAATTGGAGATCTTAATTTTGTGTCCCCGCACAATGCCGCGTGGTGCTGACCCTTGTTACACCTGTGACAGGTGTGTAATTGGGTCTCACAGGTGCTGGTATTGTGTGGCTTGAGGCATCTCGTGCATTTTTGCAATTTATTGAGTCACTTGACAAGGGTTGCATGATTAGGATAATTGGTGCAGTGGTGCATTGAATGCTCTTCTTGACCGAACAAACATATCCTCTAGCCCACAGCCTTTGATACTTTGTAAAACTCATAACTGCCAGTTTGGCTTCCGTTCCCAATAGAATACCAATTTTGATACTGTAAACCATAACTAACTCTTATTTAAACTTCACCTCTATCAGTGACAGACACCAATATGTAGCCATCAATACCATAACCTCCCCCACTCTACCATTAACAGTAGGAGTGCCACAGGGCAGCATCTTGGGACCTCTCCTATTTCTTATATACATCAATGATTTGCCAAATATTTCTAACATTCTTAAACCTATACTATTTGCTGACGATACTACCTTCATCTATTCTGACCCCAACCCCCACACACTAAATAATATTGTTAAGAATTAATTACAAAATCCACTCATGGATGTCAACCAACAAACTCACACTAAACATAGAAAAGACTTACTACATTTTATTTGGTAGTAAATCATCAAATCAAATTCAACTTCAGATAGACAATGTTAACATTAGCAATAAAAATGAGGGAAAGTTCCTTGGCCTATACATAGACAAGAGACTGAACTTCAGCACCCACATACAACACATAGCCAAAAAAGTCTCAAAAACGGTCGGTATACTTTCTAAAATCAGATATTATGTTCCCCACTCTGCTCTCCTCTCATTATACTACGCACTAATCTATCCCTATCTTACATACGGTATCTGTGCATGGGGTTCAACCACTGCAAATTACCTCAAGCCTATCATCACTCAGCAAAAATCTGCTATCAGAACTATAACAAACTCTGTCTTCAGACAACACACAGCCCCTCTGTTTAAGTCCCTTAACATGCTAAACATACACTCACTCCACACATTCTCATGTGCTATCTACATGTACAAAACCTTGTTCCTAAATGCTAATCTTGATCTGAAACTTTTCCTTGATAGGTGTAATAGAACCCATGAGCACCACACCAGAAATAAATATCTCTTTGATATCCCCAGAGTCAGACTAAATCTGTGCAAACACTCCATGCAAATAAAAGGGCCCAGTCTTTGGAACTCACTCCCTGATGAATTAAAAAATTGTCCAACATATTCCTTTCTCAAAAGTAAAACCAAAAAGCACCTATTTTCATCCTCATAGTTTCGTACCTAGTGTTTCAAACTGACTGTATCTTGCACTACCCACTCCCTCAATATTAGTACTTAAGAGATACATCTTCACAATGTAATCACTTCTGTCAAATTATATTGTAGTTATATGCTGATATAAAACCTTGCTACAATGTACCTTTTCATCTTAATTGATATGTTAGATTAAGGACCTGCCCGAAACGGTACGCGAATTAGTGGCTTTGCAAGAATGTAAAAATATCAATCTTATGTAATCTCATCAACCCATTGTACCTTCTTGCGAATAAATTATTATTTATTGTTATATCAGTTGGGGTAAGTTAATCCAACAATTTGTGGACTAGATGCGTCATTAAGCATCTAATGCTCTCTCATTGTCGGCATTATCTTTAGGGAGCTGGACTGTGAGATCATGGCTATCCTATTTAAGTTTAAATTTGCTACTTCTGGTTCAGCTTCGCCTTTAAGTTCATCTTGGGGCACGATAATTTAGTAGCCTCAGGTATTGTGGTTCCAGAATCCACAGAGATTTGTAGGTAAACTGACTGAGAACAGTTTAACTTCTGGTGGTGTGATATTGGGTGAGGCTGACCTGGATAATGGGTTTATATTTAATTGTTTTCATAGTTGATCAAATTTATCCAGATGATCTTGGAACTCCTCAAATTGTACCATTTCGGCACAGAAAGTATTCAGTTTGTCTGGGTGAATATTTTGTTGGTCGAGGCTTTGAACATAATTATTTGCTGCCTCTGCAGCCCTTTGTATTTTTTGTTTGGTCACCTCTATGTGGCTTTCTAGTAATCTGGGAGTTACATTTGACGATTGGATTAACTGATCACATTTATTCCGTTGCCTATTACATGTCCTTTGTGACTCACGTATGATCTGTAGTACAACGTACTGATACTAGACATTTCATCTGTTTTACTGACTGCTTGATTTAATTTTGTTGGTCCCATCATTTCTAAGTGGAAATAACTGGGATATTTGCTCATAAATACCAAGCAAGTATTAATAGTAGTAGTCTAGGATTAAATATTATATCACTAGGCTATGATCCTACCTTTGTGGAGGTTGGCAGATAAAATGCTAATTTTTATATAATATATACAAATTGTTCTAAGAGGTAATCAGTGTCGCTGTTGGAATTCCTCAATGGCGGAGGAATTTTTGGCAGTTCTGTTTCCAGTGATTTGTTATACACCATTTAGAGTGGTAGGCACAGTGCTTCTGCTCTTTCAATTAGTATCCATGGTGAGATTATTATAATAATAATAATAATATTGCTTCCTACTGGTACTGTTGTGGCTGCTTGCTGTATTACTATGGTAGCAGCGGAGTGCGCACCAGTTCTTACCAGTTCTTACAGTAACTGTTCTCGTCTGTAGTAATGCGGATGATGCCTTCCCCTGTAACTTTAATTTTGTTTCGAATACGGCTGTGTTATTAGCCATTAACTTATAAAATGTTTGCATTTTTCTGGTGTTTATTTATCCATGATAGTATATATTGTGGATGATATGAATGGATAAGTGATATCTGCTCTTCTTTTATTGTTTAATATATAATCTTCTATTGTTACATTAGTTAAAAACTCTTCTGGAAATTGCCTTCCCCCCTTGAAAGTGGGGAATGGGGTAATGATAATGTACATTATTATTATTACTGTATATTTCTTATGTTTTCAGATGGCGGGCTGCCTCTGAGCTCCGTTGAAGGGGCGACGATGGGGGGGTCGGTAGGCAACCTGCTGGTCATGATGGAAAGGCACCTGGCTCTCCAAAATCTGGCCAACAACAACAGCAACGACAACATCCCCAATTACAACAATAACCTCCTGCTTGCAAACAACGACAACAACAACAATGACGAGGACGAGGACGCCAGCAACCAGTACAGCTTCAGGCCGAGGGGGTGCACCATCAACCTCGGAGGATGCATGGTCCACCAGAGCAAGTGCCCGGTTCACCAGCAGCACAACTTGCTGAGCCTCCCTGGTGACCCTGTGTGGTGCCACGACACCAGCTGCACGTCTCATCCCGCTCGCCTTGCACGCTCCCAGACCAGCCTCCTTATACCCCCTCTTCCCCCACTAGCCAGGTCGTCCCGGTCCCAGGGAGACTTGTTCAGCCTCAGCCGCTCCCCGCCCATGCCCGCCAAGCGCAAGTGGACCACCCTCACGGGCCTGGCTGCCATAGGTTAGTTGCTCGTCGTACTAGTCTATATTAAAGTGCTTGGTGAGGCTATGTGGGGTATATGTTAATAGATTCTGTTGACAAAACCACACACTAGAAAATGAAGGGACGACGACGCTTCGGTCCGTCCTGGACCATTCTTAAGTCGATTGTGTGTCCAGAATGTTCCATATTTCAGCCACGTTATTGTGACTCCTCGTCTGCTTAATAGATTCTGTTTCAGAAGAATCTTTGTGCCAAATGAAACAAATTTAATGCAATTTGATGTCATCACTTTTACAAAATTTGATTTAATAAGGTCATCAGCTGATTTTTTTAAAGGGCAAGTTAGGTTTCCAGTGAAGAAAGGTAAAGTTTAACAGATGAGCGAGATAACTTTTCATAACGGCAAGGTAGAATATTTGATAAGAAACAGTAGTTTTTCAGAGGAGGAGAGCACAGCAAGCCTTGTAGCTCGGGGGTGCACACAAATAATAACCGCACCATTATTAGTTTTATTTGACATAAATATATGGTAGGAAAAATTTGATGTACAGTATCATATTTATATTTATGCATTCAGACATAGGTTTACATTTGTATGATAATACTAATAATATAAGATAAAAACCCACCCTTGTGTATGTGTGAAATTTATGTTAGGGATTTACACCAAGTCTTTCGCACTCTCCTGAGTGCTTTGTCAAGGTCTGAGTGTGTGATTAAGGCGACATCTCAACGTCTAGTGAGGCTGCTATCTTGGGTGTAATCCTCTTATCCTTCTTACCCGCCTAACCAGGTCACCTCTATTCCTGACCTGGCGATGTACTGCCTTCAACGGGAATATGGTCATGTGTTCTTTCTGTAATCCTGCTATTCTGGGAACTGTAGTTGTTATTAATAGAGGTGTTCATGTGGATGCTATCCCTCGTAACCTTCTCCATACCCCAAGGAACGTGACTAATGGGACTGCTTTCATTCATCCATTCACTGAGATCTAATTTTAATTTACTCAGAATTATTTTCCTAGTAAAGCTAGAAAAATATGGACATTCACTGCAGGCAAACTAAAGCCTTATTTATCTGTAGTATTTAGTATAATTTGTTCTATGGTTTGTATGTCTGCTGGAAAATAATATATATTTCTGACGTGACTGTAGGTCGCGCCCTCTCCGCCTCCTCTCTGTCACTAAGAGGTATCAAGAGGCGGGCACCCATGGCGGCGGCTACGGTAGATCTGGGCCAACTGGAGGGTCATGTCAAATGCCAGCTACATCAAGAGCAGCTGGTACATCCTTCCCGACCCTCCTCACACCGCCCAACGTGGTCCCGCAAATTGCGCTTCCCAGAAGTGCGGCTGGGACAGGTGTACGCCACCTTACGAGGACGATGCAACCGGGCTATCAGCTGCGACTCATCGCTGGCCACGAACGCGAAGTGTGATGGCGTTTACCGTGACCAGAGTCCCCAGAGACATCGGTGTTCCAGGTGAGCAAAAACGTAACAGTAGCAAGTAGGTTTTTATTTACATCAGTACTTCATAATCTTTAGCACTACTGCAGGGCGTAGTGGATGCAACCCTTAATCCTAAGGTGTCCCAACGTCAAGAAACTGTCGTTCTAAAGTCTCCTATCCTAACCTACCAGAGGACACTAAGCAGAAAACGGGACAGTATGTCAATTTCGCAAGAGATAAAGAAATAGAGAGGAGGGAAGGGAAAGAGAGACTATGAAAGGAGAGAGAAGGGTATTCGCGGAGAGTGGGAAGAAAGATGAAGAGGGTGGGAAAGGGAATGAGAAAGGAGACGAGGGGGTAGATGGAGGAGAGAATATGAGAGGAGGGAATAGAGGAAAAGGAAGACAGGAGAGGGAGAAGAAAGGTGGAGAGAGGAGGAGGGGGATAGATGAGGGAGAGGGGGAAGAGAGGTGACTGAGGGGGGAAGGGGGAAAGAGACCCGGGCACAGCCGGTGGCCTCATCTAGTAACTAAACAAGAATGTCTTGCTAAGCCTCACGCTTATCTAGGGGATCTTTGATGTGTCTTACAGCTTCCTATTCGGTAACAATAACATACCAATATACTGACTTCAAAGTATAAAAAAAAAAATCCAAACATATTAGTCACCCATTAAACAACAAAAAATATCGTTTTCTCTCATTAATTAATCGTTCGTTTTCTGTATCAGCTTGCGTGCGTGAACTCTTCTTTTTCCTTGATAGTTGCCGCCTGAGACACTATTGTACACTCAATTACTCATCCTGTGAGCGGCAATTTATCGTGCACCTCACACTCATCCTGTGAGTAGTAGTTTATTGTGCACCCTATACTCATCCTGTGAGTAGTAGTTTATTGTGCACCTCATACTCATCCTGTGAGTAGTAGTTTATTGTGCACCCTATACTCATCCTGTGAGCGGTAGTGTTTTGTGCACCCTATAAGTAGTGGGAGTTAATTAATTCATTAATATAAACAAACGTTAAATTTGCATAATATATAAGTAAAAGTATAATCTACTTAATATAAGTAAAAGTAAAATGATAAGTAAATTATAGGGCGTAAATATAAAGTAATGTTATAAGTGAAATAACTGAACTAAATGATAATATATAACCCGTAATTAACAAATAACTAATTATGCTTGGCTGTGAACTAGCCTAATTATAGTAAATGTAAAGATTATTAGTAAAGATAAATTAAATATAATTACAGTGCACCAGGTAAAAGAAACAATATTGTAGTTTATAAATCTTAAATATAAGATAACTAATAAATTAACTGCAACCCACATGTAGATAACTCTTAAGTTAAGTCCACATTAAAAGGATAAAAGTTAGTTTTTTTTTTTTGAGATATATACAAGAGTTGTTACATTCTTGTACAGCCACTAGTACGCGTAGCGTTTCGGGCAAGTCCTTAATCCTATGGTCCCTGGAATACGATCCCCTGCCGCGAAGAATCGTTTTTTCATCCAATTACACATTTTACTGTTGCGTTAAACCGAGGCTACAGTTAAGGAATTGCGCCCAGTAAATCCTCCCCGGCCAGGATACGAACCCATGACATAGCACTCGCTGAACGCCAGGCGAGTGTCTTACTACTACACCACGGAGTTAGTTTTTAGTTAGTAAAGTTAACAGTATTTAGCTGCCGCTGGGACAAGCCTAATTACTGATAAATGAGAATAATTGAACAAGCGAGGTGGGCCAGGCGGGAGGCAACACAGGTGACAAACATCTTAGGCTGCTAACACAAGGTACACACACACCTGGTCCAAACACCTGAGAGGAGCATAGTGACAGTCACATGTGTGCTGGACACCTTAAGGTCAAGGTGAATGCTATGCATATTAGTGGCTTCAGGTATTATGTGTATTCACTCTTATCTGTAAATCCAACTTTACGTTTATAACTTATCTTCTAATGTATGTATTTTTACCTGAATAAAAATGTGAATTTTGTGTTAAATTCGTTGTCATGTGATGAATATCTCATATTAAATATGCATATGTGATGATATTTGTTATTAGTCAAACTGGTGCTTAAAACAAGCCAGATTCCTACAATGGCTCTTTAACCGTCATACTATAGCGGAAAGTGTCGTCGTTTGGGTGAAAGAATGTGGGGCCTGCACTCTTCCCAGGCCAATCCACGAGTCTGGGAGTGGACCTTTGACAAGCCGCCAGCTTCCTGTCCTCGTCGAGGATACTAGAATCTTAGTGGTCATAAGGTATAGTTTTCAACCAAATGCCGAAGCATTCCCTTCTGCGTTATTGGTGAAACAAACGATGGTAGAATATGTATTGTTTGCTCATTAGCTCATTAGCTCGTTAGTGTTGTAAACGTTTTACAAACCAAATAACGTTTTCGTTTAGCATTTGTCATATCGTGGTGCATGTTGACCATACAATACTCTTCAAATGGCAACGAATTACACGTATAATATCTAGGCAAATATTAAGGCAGCGTCTGGGATGGTCTCGGACGCAGGTTCGAACCCTTCGTCACGGCCCTTGTGGATTTGTGCATTTGATGCATCACGCTATTGGGATTTCTGTGTGTAATATGATTGGACATGATCTACACTATTTTCCTTTCGATAGCTGTGTGTGTATGGCCGTGGTGGGGTGTTTTGACCAATGAGACTCGTGTTTACAAAGCGCCTATTCATTCATAATCTAACCCAAGACTACGAAAACAAAAGCGACGTTGTCATTTTGCACTTTCCCAGAAACTTGGGGGTAAAGGAATACTATTCCTTGACTGTACGTAATTTTTCCAATTCTATATTTGCACCCACACTGGCACCGCTCCTGTGCCAGGTAAGTCCACTACGGGCTCACCATAGCCCGTGCTACTTGCCCCACTCCTGTGCCAGGTAACTTACGGGCTCACCATAGCCCGTTCTACTTGGAACTTGTTCCGAGTAGCTGAATCTATAACAACAACAACATATTTGCACCATTGCTAGGGGAAGGGGGGTGATAGTGTGCCTTACCCTTGAGAGCACTGAACCTTTCTACAATGATGAATCAGTCTGGCTTCAGTGTTGCTGTAGTGCTAAGAGGAAAAGTTTTATTCAAGTAATGAGAAATGTGGAAACTCGAAAACTATTTGAGTATCCCCTAGAATTTCATTTTCAGAAAACTAGATTCTTCAGATCGCTTCAAAGAAAACGAGTTCAGCATATCCTTTTCCTATTTTAAACCAACGATTTGTAATACAAATTATAAAGTTATAACTTGAGAATTTCTCTGATTAGGACAAAGGTTCATTTGCCAGTTTACAAGTAGACTATTATCGGAACTGTAATATGCTTTCAGACCATCACAAATATCTAGATAACTATCCAGGTGGTTTGAGAGGGAGATTTTGGTGCCTCGTTCTAATGGGTTTACTGAGAACGAGTTGCAGCAGAAAACGCAGCTACCCTAAATTACATGACGGGTTATATACTGCTTCAAGCTACGTGATGCTAAACTAATCCCCCATCTTGCAGGGGAGGTTAGTCATACAGGGCCATGTGATCATTAGCCAGCACTGCCAAACTTTGAATACATTACTAGAATATATATCAAGAACACCAAGAGTTAATAAAGTGATTTCAAAGCTCTACGCACCTCACACCGTGGGGCTGTAACTGATGCTGTCTGGTGGACATTTTCCGCTACCCATATACATAAGTTTCGTATCAGAGCAGAACACAGAAAGAAGTTATGGATAGTGTGAAGGGCAACATTAATTCTGACAACAGAAAACGGGCGAACGGGAAGAAGTATGGGATGGTAAGGGAGTCCGGAGTCAGTGCCTGCCTGGCTGGCTTTGGGTGGTGACCTGAATTACGCGCTCCCTCTCTCCCTCCCTGGCTTTCATTGTGTGTGTTTCACATTTGTTTACCATTCTAGATTGATCATTTTTTGTTGTTGACATTATTTAACGTCTTATTTATGTCTACTGTGATTTTTGCCAACTGTGTTCACTCAGTAATATATATATATATATATATATATATATATATATATATATATATATATATATATATATATATATATATATATATATATATATATATATATATATATATATATATATATATATATATATATATATATATATATATCACCTTATTATAAACAAGTATAATCGGTTATACTAGTGATTCGGTTCTGGTAGTGGGCATAAATATATGATTTATGTATAGGCCTAACAAAAGTTAAGCAGTTATTGTTCAGGGAAGCCAAATACATCTGAACTGTTATTCGATAATAGATTATAGTGGTTGTGTTATAGCGACATGTATAACTACAAGGTAGAAGTGGGAAAGTAGTTAACAAGGAGGAGAAATAAAGTTGATACAAGCTCCGAGGAGGATAGGTCATCTTGCAAAGATCTTGCATCCGGCATCAACACTGGCAAAGTAAATGAAGCATGATGAAGAAATTAATCAACGTCACATAACAAATTAATCAAATTAACTACCATCAAATTACCGTCTAATAACTACCGTCTAATAACTACTCTTTAACTACCGTCAAATTAACTACCATTATGAAGGACATAAATGACCAAAAAGCGTGGAATGAAATGTTTCATAAGCAAATTCTAACACATAACTAATACGGTTTTATTCAAACATATTTTATATGTTTAAATAAAACATGTTTACTTAATATAACACATTAAAATAAACATATTTAAAGAAAATCAAAAGAAGGCATTTGGGCGAACTAGCCATGTTTTTCAAAAGAACTAAATTGACGTCAGGTGAAACACGCTGACGTCAATTGAATCCCGTAGACGGTAAGAGAACTCCGACGTCAGTCGAACGTCGCTGATGTCAGAGGAGCTTTAGTGGCGTCAGTGGATCACCTCTTCAGTAGGAACCCCTGCTGACTTAGGAAACATCACAACCCACCTAAGGTGACCTCCGTAGTCAGTCTGGAGACTCAATGACCACACCGGAGCAACTCTACAATCAGGAACTCTGGACTAA